GTTCTTTTTTTCTTTAAAGAATGTTGATGTTTATGCTAGACTTTTATTTCGCTACCGCAGCAAAAAGAATATACAAACAACTTTGAAATAGATCTATGAGTAGTTTGAAAAAGCAGTGCATCAGACAAAAGCGACAACTCGATTTTTTTTCTCAGGGCCGTTAACTCTAGCACAACCAAGAGACGAGTTAGACTTACAATAATGAACATCAGCTTTTCTTTATTAGAAACACTGCAATAAGTTATACTGGCATGATAAGAGATGCTTAAGTTAATTTCATAGATCACTAAATTATTCCCATCAAGCAACTATTTTACCAAATAAAAAAAATTTGGTGCCATCATTTTTAGCATCATTTAAAAGTGTATTATAGCCACACTTTGAAAATAAGTAAAGAAAAATGCAACATGTGTTGAAGGTGGACAGGAGGATGGGGGGGGGGGGGAAGTTGTACTTACACAAACATGAAAATATTCATGCAATTGTGAATAAGTAAACTATTTTCAGTGAATGAAAGTACATGTAAGAAATAAGTATTACAATTGTAAATCTGTTTCACTCTTCACAAGCTGATGATGAAAACTGAAATACTAAAACAAACATGGCAAGGCGACTGACGTTGTAAATTACTTGTCTGAGACAAAAACAAAACCCACAAAATTTGTAATAAATAACTCTAAAAAATAATTATTAAACCAAAGTTATATAAATTTCACATCAAATTATACATTAAAAATATAAAATAAACCATGTTACTTAAAATAGTGATTGTAGTTTGTACTGTTTTTTGCAGTACCCTTACTTCCAGTTGAAAATAAACCCGGAACAAACTCCCAACCGTCTCATTAGCAATCGAGCTCGAAACCACTCGACAACCTCTTCCGTTTAGTCTGAACAGCAAACGTGAACAAAAATAAAATAACGATTTCAGCAGAAACATGCAAAAAAAAAATAAATAAATAAAGACACAAAATTGTTTCTTCTTCTTCGTTCTTAATTATTAGTGTTGAAGGGGGATCGAGATTTATCTGCCAGTGGGTTTGAACTCGAGACTTTGTTCGAATTTATCAACCATGAGCTTTTTTGCCGACTCGACCACGCCTCCAACACAATTAAGCGTTACGTGTCAACTGGTTATGCGCCTATGAGGCCATTGACTCCGATTTCAGCCTGCTTTTCTTTTTGGATTTGCTTCCATAGCCTTTGTCCAACTAAGAACAAACTACAAGGCAGCAGTTGTTTGATTTTGGAGTTGTCTCTCCTAGAAGAGTGGCTGTCCCCAGCTAACTAGCCTCATCTGCCGAGGGTTCGAACTCGAGACTTTTCGGTTTAGCAACCATGAGCTTTACCGACTCGACCACGCCGACCTCTAAAATTGTTTCAAAATCTTTATAACAACAATGCATGCGTTTCTTTCTTTTGTTGTTAGTCTATTACACTAAAGAGCCGTTGATTTATTTTCATAATATGTAGGCTGTATGTATTGTCAAGTTGGGCTTTTTGTGACTAGGGGTCGGTATATAGGCTAGGTCTAAGGCACCTGGTTTTAAAACCTTGATATAAATTCTAAACGTGTTGACCTTCTCAGGTGTTTTTAATATCAGGACTATCATTATTTATTGTACGTTGGTGTGAATAGTTTATATTAAGGTTTAGTTTTACAATGTTAAGTTTGCTGTTTTCCTCATAGTTGCTTTATTTGTTTTATTGCTTGTAAAAACAGAGTTCGATCTATTTACTGTTTAAGATTTTGTAAATACTGTTGTTGTTTTTTAAAACTTAAATAAAAACCTGTACTTAAAAAAAAATGCATAATTGTTTATTAAATATTTATTATTATTCGAGTTATTTGAAAGACGTCTATGGTATACATATATCCATGTTTAAATTTAACTAACCGTAATAATAATTAATACGCGAATTGAATGAACTGTCGTGTGTTCTCTCCCGTCCAGTGTTTCTTCCAGACCTTTTTTTCCGGGGCGACTAAATTTTCTGGGGGGGGGGGGGGGGGGGGGGGAAGGGACAATGTTAAAAGTATATATTTTCTATATAAATTCCATTTCGTTGGGGGGGGGGAGTGGGGGGGGGCTGTGCTCCCCCGAAGAGATGCCTGGAAGAAACTCTGCTCCCGCCTTAAAAAGAAAGTTCATATCTTTAATGTTTAGCTGTAAATTTTAGCTGAGAAATATATCATGACTTATTAGATGTTTTGTATTTTCTACTTGGGCAGGTGTTTCTAGCAGACGGGAACCAAGTGTGTCTTGTAGCCAGGAAATAGGTGTATTTTTAGACTATAAACAGGATCTTGTAGCGGTACAGCAGACTTAGAACAGGTGTTTTGCAGATTGAACAGGTGAGTCCTGTATCCACAGAGATTTGGCTGCTATGAGCGCGAGGAGCATGAAGGTAGAAGACCGAAGTCCAATTCTTAAGCCTAAAACTCAAGCACCCACCTCTAGAGCCAGGAAAAGGAAAACGCGAACCCCCAAGAAGCGAGAATCGTCCAACTTCGAAACGACTGCAGTCTTCTCTGACTGTCCCGTCGCCCCCCAGCAGACGACGAATATTTGTACCAAACCACCAGCCGACAATCCCACTGTGACGTCAGACACACACCCGCCAATCAGAACTCGAAGCAAATCCAGAAAAAGCCCCAACGCTAAAAAAATAGTGACCACTGACGTAATCAAGTCAGCTGACGCTGTTTTGACCTCTGACCCAAAGCAAGAAGAAGACAAAAAAGAGTCCGCCTCTCGGTTCAAAGAAGAGGACCTGCAGGGGTTTGTTGTTGAAGATTGGTGTGAGTTAGGACCCAGCCCCCACACGGAGGGACATAGTCCTCTCAGACAGGACACCCTCGCCATCAAACAATCTCCGTCCTCTGTTCATAAGTACGACAGCCCTCTAAGGCAGATGTTGGCTCGGAGCGATTCAAACAAGCCCCAGGAACAGGAAGTGAACTCCACCATCTGTAAAAAAATGTTTAATTCTTTTATCCCATCCAATCAAACTCGAACAACGTCACCTGTGCGAGCCGAGATTCCGGGCAGAGGGTACCAAAACTGCTCCATCACCACGACATCCGCCCCTTTACCGTTCCACTCCATGTGGACCAACCCCAGCATAACCAGCCCATTCAGCTTCCAGCTCAGCGCGTTTTCCGTGCCTCGTGAGTCACCGGCGCCACCTCCACATACATGGGACTTAACTCGTGGGGAATCAAACAAGGGCGTGTACTCCATGGCGCCGAATCTCTTCCCTATGAGCATACCCAATAATCAACACTCGGAGCTAGTCAACCGGTTGTCCCGGGCTCCTCTATACCCGACACACCCCGCGACAACTTCCGTTCCTTCCCTGCTTCCCCCGTACCCCAGCAGCGCCAACCACGACATGCAGTCTCTGATTGGAGGGTTCCAGTACCCAGGCATGCTCTACCCCGAGAGTGTCTACCCAAACGGGTCACTCCCATCCCAAGGGATGATCTTCTTACCACCCCACCCGTACCTGTTTCATCAGGTCCCTTACCTATCCATGATCCCTAACTTAAACTACATGCAAATCAAACCAGAGCATCCAGACCCGGTCACACCAACTGATCTAAAACCTTCTGTTCCGAGTTTACAGTTACCCCAGTCTTCATTCACACCGACACCAGACACAATTTCTCTAAAGAGCGAGATGAAGTACGAAGAACCGACCAATCAACAGCCTCTAAAGTTCACGCTAAAACCTAAAATGTCGGGCGGGGAGGATTTCATCGACCCGACGAGACTGAAATTCGGCGTTGACGACGAGGGGACGGACGAAGAGTTGGTTAAAATAGAAGACAACAGCGACACATCAGATGAGGAATGGCAGCCAAGTAAAAACATCGGGAAAACAAAACTAGATCAAGACAGCGGCAGCATGGACGAAGACGAGGCGACGAGAAGCCCGGTGAAGAAAGCCAGGAAGAAAGGAAGATCCATGAAGCACTCAGTCGAGTGCCCAACGTGCGGTAAGGTGTTTCGTGGTGAGTACCACCTTCGTCGTCACCTCATGTCTCACAGCGAGATCCGCCCCTACCAGTGCCAACAATGTAGCAAAAGTTTCAAGCAAAAGGCCCATCTACACGGCCATATGAACGTCCACGAACGGGCTTTAAAGATAAAAAAAGGCGAGATTAGTGGTTCTAGGAAAAAATCCAAATCTGACACCGCGAAAAGTCCAGGCCGGCCCAGAAAACCTTACACGGAGAAAGATCTGTCTTGTAAGGAATGCGGGAAGGTGTTTAAAACTATTTATAGATTGAAAAGACACGAGCAATCCCATACGGATGTTCGGCCTTTTCTGTGCCGAGTGTGCGGGAAGGGCTTCAAGCAGACTGGCCACAGGAACGAACACGAGGCCAACCACGAGAAGACGAAGAAACGCTTCCTGTGCAACATGTGCGGGGTGGTGTTCCGCTGCCGGTCCTCCTTCAACAACCACATGCGCACCCACGGGATGGAGAAGCAGCGGCTGCTGCAGCCACGGGATGACGCGGGGGAGGTCACCCAGTCGGGCTACGACTGTCCCTACTGCCCGGACAAGTTCGCCACGGCGCAGGCCCTCAACAGCCACCTGGAGACGCACGTCGAGGTCCTACACCGACGCCACGTCCAGCCCTACAGCTGCGACGTCTGCAAGAGGACCTTCACCTACCGTCACAACCTTCTCAAGCATAAACTCATCCACAAAGCGCCAGAGAAATATGCCCAGTACTATAAAGAAAAAATAGAAGCTCACGTAGCAAGCGGGAAACCGTCCTATGGCTGTACTTTATGTTCCAAAGTGTTCATAAGGAAAGAAACCCTCGCTAAACATGCTAAGCTTCACTCGGGCAACAAACCTTTTAAATGCAACATCTGCAATCGCGATTTCTCCCAAAATGTTCATCTCAAGGTCCATATGAGAAAACACACCGGAAGTCGACCTTTTGAATGCAACGACTGCAAAAAGAAATTTATCGACAGCACAGGCCTGGCAAAGCATATCGAGAACGAGGCTTGCAACTCTGAGAACGTGATGTACCGGTGCCAGCTGTGCGAGAAGCGACACTTCTACCTGGGCAGCATCAAGCTGCACATCAGGAAGGACCACAACGTCCACTCGGACGAGAACGTCGAGAGGTGGATCCAGAGTTCCCAGCGCGTCAGCCGGCGGAAGAGCACCGTGGACACGGAGAGGTTCAAGTGCAACATCTGCTTGTGCAGCTTCACGGAGAAGTGCAACTTGGTGCGGCACGTGAAGAAGAAACACGCGGACCTGGTCGAATTGCTGAACACCGACCAAACGACTAGCAGATCCCTCGAACAGTCTGACCCTCCCTCGGCGTGCATTTCCACCAAGTATTCCGAAACCAGAAGTTCCGCATCCCAGTCGGGAATTTCCGAAAAGGAGTCTTCAAATTCATTTCCATCTAGCCAGTTAGCGGAAGCAGACGACGATTCCAGACAGCTGATGATTGATGAACATGTAGCAGTAGATAATAAATGCCCAGCCACTGAGGGTATAGCGATGGAGGAAGACAACAAACACACGGAGTCTCGAGCTTTAGGCAACAACTTCAGAGGAATCGAAGAAGATGCGCACGTGAGTAACGCAAGCCACGAGACAACGCGTCACCCCTTCGACAAAACAGGGGCGATAATAGATGATTGTCACAAAGAGGACTGCCATGATGGTCTGCTTCAGGGTTTCCGTAAAACCGAATTTAACACGGTTGAGCTGTGCCGGTCAGTGTGCTGTGACCGGCTAAAAGATGATGGCTGTTTAGCTAATCCAGTAGAGCTAACATCAGAGTTTGGGTATCCGGAGGAGAAAACACCGACCGAACCTACAGAGGGGAATTTCTTGTACAACTTTGGACTTATCGTTTCTGCTAAAGCAAGAAAAAGGGAAGACGTGCATTACGGCTGCCCGGGGGAATGTGGAAAAGACAAAACACATGGGAATGCAGGAGACGCCCCTGCTTCCACAGACTGTAAAGAATGTAGGAATGTTCGATGTGAGTCACAATGTACAGAGTACAGGCAAGCAGACGATTGCTGTGTCATAACGGAACTCGACACGGTTAAAGGGCAAGGTCGTATAACAGAAGCCTATGTACAACAGCTAGGCGAGAACACCACGCCCTGCTTGTCAACCACAGATAACTACATGAATCAAACCACGCCCACTTTAACTGATCGCGTTCATCGACTGCACATCGCTGATGGTACATTGGTAGATGCCGACTTAGCCTCAAACCGTCACACTTCTTACAACGCTCACGTTAACCCATTCGCTATATGTTCCAACGGAGACAAAAGTTACTCAACTCTCGTACCCTTAACCACGCAAGTTATCTCCCCAGCACAGAGTCATCTAAAACTGACCACAGGCCAAGCTAGAGAATGGACAATCCAACCTTCTGTTCTTAGTCTGCCGTTTAACAACGGTGATACAGTAAACAGAACTTCAAGTTTCAAATCGAAAAACCATCACGAAAACGAGCCCGGATCTAAACGAAATTATTTATCGAATCCCGAACCACAACCAACCTCCAGCGATTGTACCCTCGCTAAAGCTTCAAACTCACTGGATGCGAGAACCAATTGCACTTTACCTCAAGCACTCTCAGAAACATCCAATAAACTTGGTGGGAATTTACAAAGTCTGGAAAAAACAGAAGAAAAGATTGAAGGCAGTAGTCAGGAGAAGCCGGACGCTCAACATTCAAAGACTGAAAAGGAAGAATATGAATCATGCCCAACTCTGTCTCACCTGGACTATCTGGGACTTTTAGCCTGCAAGGATGCCAGAGAAATTGAAAGAAAAACGTATCCCTCGAAAACTGTTTACGATACCAACAAAGCGTGGTTAGAAGATTTGATTTTAAACTCTAAAACGAAACAAAGAAAGGTTAAAGTTCATCCTTCGAAAGAAGACCCAACTCCTCAAGTGAACGAGGGGACGGTGATAGAAAAAGTAGAATCGGTGACAATAAAGGTTAACTTGTCAAAAGACGCGGCTAGCAACACAAATGAACCGAGCATCTTCAACAAAAAATGGCGGAGAAGAAACAAAATTCCCCAACAGCTAAAAATAGAACAGGAGGTCTCGCCCCGGAAGTTGAAGACACCCGACTCTACCATCACTCAAGATGACAAGTCTCTCTCAATACAGACCGATAACTTCGCTAAAATTGAATTGCCAAACTTATCTCCCCTGCAAGGAGATTTGAATGGGTGGGCATTAGCTCAGCCAATTCTCTTCCCTCCGACAAATTCCTTACTCGCTTTAGACTCCACGACCCAAACCCCCACGCCATCCTCCGTGCAGGTGTTAGATCCTCACCAACCCACCACCACCACCACTAACATCATCACCACCTCCCCTTGCTCAACATCAACCACTGGAACCATGACAACAACATGGCCGGCACAGAAAGCTCCTCCCCATCCACGCCCACCCAGCACCGCCGGGGTCTCCCCGCCCCTGACGCCCGACTCCACGACGAAAATAAGGAACCACTTCCCGTGTTTGGTGTGTGCCAAAGTCTTCAGTGCCAGACACCAGCTGAAACGTCACGAGATGACTCACACAGACTTTAGACCTTACAAGTAGGTGGCCACTTCCAGCACATTTCTAGCTCATTGTTGGCACATTCTAGTACATTTCTGTCATATTACTAGCACCACATTTCTAGCACATTTCTGTCACATTTCTAGCACATTTCTGTCACATTTACTCTCTTGCTATATCAGCTACTCTAAATCTCTGAGTATATTATGGGTAGTTAATTGATAATCATGCACAAACAAGTAGTATTAGACTTAAATGCTATCATTTAAAAAAAATGTTTAAAAACAAACCTTTTAAGACCCATTATAGGGGTGGGCTGGTCCGCCGGTCTGCCGGGGAAAATCCCAGTGCCCCCCCCCCCGGGAAATCTTGGTGGGCCCCTAGAAAAAGTACTGCAATAGTCGTATTAGAAATTTTTTTTTTTTTTAAATTGGTATTTTACCATTCCTTCATGCCAAAGTGTTAACTCATTTGGTGGAGGAAAAAAAGGCACAATGAAAATTTCAAGTTGAGGGTCCATTTTTAAAAAATTTCCCTGGGCCTCTTGAACATAGCCAGTCCACCCCTAGCCTACTGCATACCTTGCTTGTCCTGTATGACATTTGTGTTTCTATTTATGTCATTTAGCTGCGACAAGTGTGGGCGGGCATTCAGACAGAAGGTCCACTTGAGTGACCATATCAAGCGTCACCAAGGCCAGCGTCCCTTCGCCTGTAGTGGCTGTGGCAAGAGGTTTGTGCTGAAGAATGAGATGAACCAACACATCAAGAACCACTGCAGGGGCGCCACGGACGCCCTGAGGTAAACACATTGTGTTGTAACGTATTTATTCGTGATTACTTTAAGTATAAAGATGGAGCTCTGTAAGCCCCAACAGTCTTTGTTTTAAGTAGCCTTCTCTAACGTTCTGATCATACATATTTTTTCTATATTTCTATTTAGAATTTCTGGTCAAATTGATTAGAGAGTTATATTAGCTAGGCCCAAGTATAAACTTTATATTGGGCTTGATCTGGATAAATATAGCTCTTTTGGTAACCCATTTGATAAAGGAGACTAAAGTCGATTTATACACAAACTAAAACGGATATTTGTGACACTTTAAAGTCTCCATATTTTGTTTAAATATTATGCCCAAATAAATTAACCCAAAGATAATATTAACTAGAGTTGCTTCCCTTTACACATTTGTCCAAATAAATTGACCCAAAAGATTATCTGAAATTAAATAGAGTAGCCTCCCTTTTAAAAGTTAGTGTGCCCATGAATTTTTTAAAAACTGTAACTGTAATGAGAAAAATACTTACATATTACATTATTTAGTAGACAATTATGTCACGTTATATTATAGTTATACGAAAACTAATTCTTTGTATCATTTTTACCTTTAAAATATGCATCTTTTTCTATCACAGTTACCAACATCTAGAGTCAAATGACTTCAACTTGGAGAAAGATGACTCGAATGGTGTAAAGACCGCCATCGTCCACCCTCAATCAGAAAACCTGGAAGGTCTGTCTGTGTTTGAGCATCCTTACAAGGAAGACTTGCCCAGATGTAAGTGGCTTTACAAAGTTACAATTTCATTTTTTCTTATGTGAAGGCCTGCTTTATGTTACAGACTAGGACTTTCTAAACAGGATTTCTTTCACACGTTTTGCTACAAGGGGGGGCTCCCCAGGAGAAATGCATTAACGAATCTTTGGTTATAATGATTATACGTACTGTAAGTAAATGCCTACCTATCACCTAGATACAGATGTTAACAGAACTATCCCTAAGCTTATTGTCCACTAACTAGGTATTAACATGAATAACCCTAAGCTTCTGTCCACTAACAGGTGTTAACATAACTAACCCTAAGCTTCTGTCCACTAACAGGTGTTAACATGTCCAACCCTAAGCTTGTCCACTAGCCACGTTTTAACATGACTAACCCTAAGCTTGTCCACTAACCAGGTGTTGTTAACATGAATGAACCTATGGCTGAACAGTGTGATCCAATCAAACCATCAAGTCCCTGTGTCAACATTTCTCATTTTCTCAACCAGACTAATGGTATGAAGGCCTGTAGTGAGAGAAACACATCAGATAACTAGCAGACATTGATCTTACTTGCTGTATTTCAGGAAAGAGATGTCCATGTTGTAAAGATTATGCTCAGGTAATTAATGTCGTTTGTAATAATTAAAAGTTTAGTCTAAAGCTTATTATCTGTAAAAACAAGTTAATTCTTTTTCATTTTTAGGCTTTTTTAATATCCATGTTAAAAGTTAAATATCTAAAGTAAAGTGTTACAGCTATTTCTATCACTGGTCTATTGTTCTTTTGTAAATTTTTCTTTTAACTTCACCACTCTTCAGTTTTGGACTTTGTCATTATTTTATCATCTTTGTTAAAGAACTAGTCTTGTGAGGATGTATGCACACTAATTATGTAGAATTTGGAGGATGTGAAGAACTAATTATTGGTGAAAAACAATGTAATTCATGTATGAATTCATATACCTAAAATTTTGGTTACTGTAATATATTAATTTGCAAAGTTGTAATATTCTGTTAACTTTTCAAAATCTCACGAATTACTATTAAATCTTTGTAATTGGCGATAGATATAATTTAGAACTTCTTTATATGAATGTGATAAAGATTGAAGTTTTAATGCAATTGCTTCTGTGTGTAGTTCGATTGTATTAAGCTACACATTGTATTAGTGCATATTGTGTTCACTCAAAGCAGCATTATAAATACATGTATCTCAAATACAATTTATATTTATGCCAAAGATATTTTTATTTTTTAAAAAGAGTTTTAATTTTAAAAGATTTGCTTTTTCTCATGTTGGGAGTGTTACAAATAAAAAGTTTATTTTGTCAGCTTTGTTTTGTTATTGGTTATGAGCAGTTTATTTGTTAAAACTCGCACATTGTTCTTACTGATCTTATACACTTCCATTTTTATGGAAAAAAGGCATTGCTAGTTTTAGTTTTATTTCTCAATTTTAATTATGAAAAATTCTGTTCTGACCATTCTACAACTAACCTATAGATTTCCCTAATTCATAAACAAATTTGAATGAGTATCTGTTATACAAGACCAAGAAGATAAATTTTGAAAAAAAATAAATAACACAAAATAATGCCACAAAACAATGACATGATGAATCAAGGCCAATTAAGTTGTTCAATGTTTTTTAATGGATGGCAAACAAAGAAAAATGATTTACAAGCGCAGTTACTCAACACATTGTAAGAAACCAAATTGTTTTGTATATAAATAAATTTGACACAGCTAAAACTGAGCCAAACAAAGTCCCCCAACACTACCAGACTATAAACATTGTGTGAAATATCTGAGTGTAAAGTAACAATTGATTGGAACATAACTGAACACCTAGGGAATACTGAAGATTCTATTAGGTATGGGTGGCTAGTAAATGCAGTATTTTCTTCACGGCTGGTGAACCATAGACGTGGCAAGTGATTATAGATGTGGTGGGTACTATGTGGATGTGGTGGTTAAAATGTGGATATGTTAGGTAGATGGATGTCACTGGTGAAATTTATAAGTGTGGCAGGGAATTAATGAGTGTAGCATAGAAAAATGAACAAATTGTTTTCTACATGACTGAAATGTTATATTAGCCAATTCAGCTATTGTCTGGATAATTGAGAAATGTTAATTGAATATGTAGACTAGCTTTAAATGGGATTCATATAAAGGGTATTTATCAAGAAAAAACCTGTAAATTAAATTTTTAGTGAAAGTGTTTTTGAAAAAAAATTAATTATTTACATTAAAAAAATATTTCATAAATTGAAGTCTACAAATTAAACATTAGTTTTTTTCACAAAACAGTTTAAGTGAATCAATAGGGGTAACAATATTGTATTCACAGAGCTGGTTTAAAGCAAAACAACAACTGTTGACACACGTAACTTATCAGTGATGACCTGTTGAAAATAGTCACTAGCTTTTACACCAATTTTACCAACAATATAACCTATAACACAATTTGTTTGAATGTGAAATTTAACATGGATAATGAGATGAGATCTTTAAAATTAAAACAATTACTATATTAACATTGATACTCAATTTGCTTGTCATGGATTCTCAGCTGGTAAATTAGGATTGTTCGATTAATTAATGTAATTAAACTTCATGTAATGTATAATATCAGTTGGAATGAGGGAACAAATATTTGATTACTTGTATATAAAATGATTACCTTTAATTGAATACAATAACATTGTAGCTATGGGTGGGTTAAAGAGTTGTGATCATACCTATAATGGCTGTATTTGTAACTATACACTATGTAACACTTGAAATATGTACGAATTGAAAAACAAATGTTTAAGATCTTTAAAAAAAAATGCTATAGTTAATAAGTGAATGACTTACAAAATTCAGGCTATGAGAAAGTGGTGAATAAAAAGCTGTATTTGATTAAAAAATGAAGGTGTCAAGCGGAGGATTTAAGAAACATAACATTGACTATCAATGTGTGGACTAAAAAAAAAGTTATGTACTTCCAACCAAGCATAAACAGAGGCATAAACCCATCCAACTCAAGAAAAATGTTGCATAAATTGCATATAAAAACTGACTTCATTTATTGCAGAAGTTTTTTCCCCACCACTAGAGGCAGAAGGGTAGAGAAAGCTGAAGGGACATGTTTGAATTAATATCTGATATAGAGAACTGGGAACACAATGAGCTGCATGACCTTCTTTTATGAAATTGTTTTTCATAAGAGTAACAAACAAATTCTTAAATTAAATGCAAGTAGAACTTGTTTTTCCATTTTGGAATTTTTTAAAAATAAAAACAGTAAAAGTATTTTTTTGCATTAGGAACATAATTTTTTAAATATTGGTAACAATTTATTTATTAGGAACAGAAGTTTCCTTTTTATTGTTCATTAGTAACAGAACTTGTTCAGTAGTAGCAGAACTTTTTTTTGCATTGGGAACTATTTCCTTTCTTTGAAACACAAGAATCAGGCAAGAAACTTGACAAAATGCATAGAACAAAAATGACCTACCCAGATACATTTAGTTGGACAAGTCAGAGGTGATCAGGACCTACATGAGCTGCTTTGACAGTCTAGCTCTCCAGCAACAAAGTTTAAAAAACAACTCAACAGCTCATATTAAGGCTGTTACAATCATTCCGTTTTAAAATTTAGTGTAAAAATGTATTCATATTTTTTTTAGCAAAAGATAATGGATTAGACTAATGAAGACCTAATGAAGTTATCTACACAATGGCACCTACTTGGCACACAGATGATATGAATAGTTTACAATGCATACACATTTTTACATACATTACAGAGATTTCATTACGTGATCTTGAAACAAGTCAGAGTCAGAAACAAGATATTGACTTACAAAGGTAGATAAGAAGTGCAGGTAACTTGGTCATGTGGGAACCAGGTGGTTGTTGGTTAGACATCACTAAGTCTCACCTGATGGAACAGGTTCAACCCCTCCCCCTCCCCAAATCTCCACCTTGCTCTCACCAATACCAATACAACTGGAAGGTAATTCTACATCTAGTTGTTCAAATCTACTACTGTAAGACTTTAAATAAAAGGGGGTGGTTGCCTTGAAAGTTTTATTTGACAAGTGTCAGGAGATAGCCAGAACAAATCTTACGAAACAAACCTCAATAGTCATGTTAAAAAAAGATAAAAATCAAGCATTGTCAAACATTGCATGGTTAAGTAATAAATTATAGTCATATATCATTACAAATACAGACAGGTTGGCTATAAATGTACAAAAAACAAAAAAAAAAACTATAATACAAAACTCAGTTCAAAATGGCACACTTCTATACACCAATGCTTTAATACTGCACATGGGTCAAAGGTCATGTTACAAAAATAAAGACTGTCTTAGACTTACACGGCATGCAACTAACTGGTCTGAACCTGTGGACAGGGATTCCAACATTAGATTATTTAAAAACCAAGATATAAAAAATCATTACAGCTGATAACTATGTAGAAAACTATATTAAAATCTTTCTTAAGGTCTTTTGTTTCAGTTACATAAGAGCTACTTTTTAAATTGCTTTTTTTATAGCTACATTTAAAAAAATGTAAATACCTTTAATTAATTACACTATAAATTGTGGTTCAAAGCTACTGTTTTGTGGGAAATATTTATGGGTGTTGGCTTACGAGCCAGATATTTTGAAACAATTTTATTTGGGTGCATTCAGTAGCTAAATTGTCAGATTTGCTACACTTCCAAGATGGACAATAAAATCTCAATATGAACTGTAAAAAAAAATGTTCCTTCATAAAGCTAAAGGGGTGTGTGTGTGTTCTGCATTTGGAAAAGTATATACAGCAGATAAATGTTTGACTGCTTTTGTTGAAAAAATAGTAATGAAGAGCGGTTTTTATATCATTAGTCAACATTCCAGAGACTTTAATAAACCTGAGTGAAGCACTAGGTAAAAATATATCAACTTTACTATTTAGGACTAAAAGCCATGAGTAAAAAAATATATCTTCAAACTTTCATGGATCAAAAGCCCTTTGTGAAAAAAAAATTGACTTTCAATTTCCAAGGACTAAAAGCCCGATGTGGAAAAATATCAAGTTTATCTGTAATGCTTAAACAGCTGAGCAAGATTTTCATGGACAGAAAAGTTACACTAGTTAGTCCTACAAAACAGATGAATGAAAAGCAAAAACAGGGTGGGTTTTTTAAAAATAAAGTGGCTAATTTGTAATGTGGATATCAGCATAGTTATAGGGTGAGCAGGGGACAAACTGGGTAAGTCTTTGTACATCGTGAATATGCAGCTTAATATTAGCGAAAACAAAAAAAAAGAAGCCACTACTCAATAACTACAAGCGATTCATTGAATCAACATTTGCTGAAGATCAGCACCTAGAGCTTTGTTTTGTTCACAGACTACACGAAAGATTCTTATTTGAACATGGGGTTTGTAGTTGCTAGAGACGTAAGGCTTATTGATTGGTAGTTAAGTCAATGTATCTCTAGCCATATTTAAATTCTTGCAGAAGACATCCTTACTGAGACTAGCCAAGAGTAGTCTGTGAATTCTTTTCAACCAACCACCAATTCCATTTTAGCTAAATCCTGATCTATCTCAACTTTACAGGTAAAGTTTGAATCAAAATGTGTAGATGTAAGAAACACAAACCAAAGCTACAGCTGCTTCTCAAATGTTCATTGAATGACTCTCCACAGCAGTCTAAAAAAGGGGAAGCAAGTGTACAAGAGGAGATAACTCTGACCCTCATCAACACAGATTTACACCATTTTTTTAATTGTTATTAGCTGTGTAATTTATCATTACAACATGATTGATTAAACACATTAAAAAAATCCTCCTCAGGTGTAAATCTTGTGTGATAAAAGCCAACAGGTGCACACGTTATAATATGTATCTTTTACAAATATACGAGTCAGAATTTAACTCTTTAATTTATGATACATCTATTTCCAGAGTTAAACTAAGACAGCCACAGTGTGAATTAGTTTAGCTTATAGAAAATAGAGATTTTGTTTTCTTTGAGCTGTTGAGATCTTTCATTAGGCGAAGTGACTTCCCTTGTTTTCTATATTTAGAACAGAACTAAAAATATAAACAAACTATGAATGAATGATATGTCAACAGAATATGGCCAAATAGACAAAAAGTCTACACTTAAAAATAGCTAATGTTAATTTTAAATATCTATAAAAACAAAAACTTCCCACTTAAAGATGTTTGTTGAAGATAATTTGAACACGTTATTTGAAGTAAACTGTTTTAGGTTGATAACTAAACAATCACTTAGCAAATATTTCTTAGGAGTTTCTTAAAAAAACTAAGATAAAAAGTCTTTTCAAAAAACGTAACACCCTGTGAAATATCAAACCGAATCTAATCCTAGTGGATAAGTTTGGATGGATTGTATAGTAGCCCTGGATATTCAATCACTGTACATAAAAATGCTCAGCAGTAATGATACGACAACATGAAAGAATAAATCACCCATCTATTCAGACAAAAATAATAATAAATAAACCCCACCTACTCAATGGACAGGGTAAAAAAAAAATTTAATTAAATTTGTTATGAGTGTGCATGGCATGCTGGTTGAAATAAATACACATTATAAATTAAAGAAACATTTACAGTTTTTGCCTTAAGAGATGGATATTTTTTTTAAACAAATGACGACAGTCAGAAGTGTCAGTAGCTTTAAAACATTGTAACTTGTTAGTCATTGGTTTCTCTGCCTCTCACATATTCAATCTCTAAACAATATTTACAAATATACTCAAACGGTGATACTAGTTTAAAATGTTAAAAAAAAGTGTAGAATTAATATTGTTATATGGTAATTATGCTTGGAAAAAGTAAAAAAAAAGTATTTGCCTCATGGATGTAATACTTGGAAATGTAAGTTTGTTTTTCCTCTGCAAATATTTTAATTTGAACAATGTGTTATTTGGTCAAGTAACCATTATGTGGCTGGCTAACTCACTCAATATGTTGTACTAAAACAACCATAAGGTGTTAGAGTCAAGTACGTTACATTTTTAAACTGCTGATTTATATACAAGTGCCATGACAAGTATTTCAAACATTGGCTAATAAATGCAGTGCAGACCTAATTGTTTATAAAAAAAATGAAAAACTCGATCGTCAAAAATTATTGCTTTAGTGGGTAACCAAGTTAATCATGACAGACAATAAAAAAATAAAATAACAAGCAACTTACTCAGTTGTACAATATTTTACTTTTAAAAAAAAATCACTTTCTCCCTAGCCAATACTACAGTAAACAATCTATTAGAAAACCAGCCACATCTTTAGTTGAGCAATTACAATTAACTTTCAAACTAAACTTCTAACAGTCAATCAAACAAACATTCGACAAATTACATACTGTAAAATTAGAAGTCAACTAAATCTAGTATTAAAAAGTGAACACTTTCTTATTCTAATAAAAAAAAAGTCTGGTTTCTTCACAATGACTAAAGAGAAGCATCAAATTTTATTTTACAAAAGATTTTTTTGTTGTCAATCAATAAAATATAGAAATCTGATTTCTACAAAACAAAAAATAATTTTTATATATTTATTGACTAAAATCAACATATATACAGTGGTCCTTTAAATGTGCACAGCCAATCGGATTTGTTGTAGTTATTAGATTAAAAAAAAACGTGATTTTGTCACACAACTTGTGTACATAATTCAACACAATCAATCATCCATTTCTCTTGTTTGATAAGGGCTGACTCATCTCTATAAAGGCAGTTCAATAAGTGATAGAGATACAACATAGGCAGCATATGAACAGTGTTGTATTGGCAAAATGAGGATCTGTCAAGCATTTAATATGGTGAAATGTAACAAAATCATGTGATCATAGATAAGTGTTTTCACCTCTCTCTTTGCTAAAATAAAACAAATGTCATATTTAAAAACATCACTTCTCATTCACAGCCTTGAATTGCATGCTAGTAAAATACCTACAAATGTTTAACCCTGTGAGTGAGTAGTGGGTATGTGGATTTTAAAAAGACAAAAAAACATACAGTTGGGCTTTCATAGCGTCTTTTAAAGTTACGTCCATTGCTATTTTACACAATTTAAAAAATGAACGTTATGTTAACTTCTATTATACACAGTTAAAAAAAACTGTCTATGTGACCTAGGATGGATGAAATGAACCAACTAAAATTCACATCAACGGTAACAAAAATCAGCTTCAACTGATTGCAATTGTTAGGAACTTAACCAAACAGGAAATAAAAATGAACTAGAATGATGACTGAAATAATAAAATCAACGATATGGATAGACTGGAAGTCCCATCAATTCGGTAGCTGTCACCAGCAACACTAACATGATCAAGAGGCAGGCAACTGCTCTCAACAGCTCACACAACTGTCATACTGCAGACTGTTTAGGGTTGGTTCCTATAGCAACAAGGGCAGCTACTGTAATGGCCACTCTTGAGATTCCTTTCTCGTCAAAGATATCATGAGGCACACAGATCTGCTCCTGGGAGGTAGAATAAAACCATCAGAGTTCAGTGACAGAGATGTCTTCATTTAAAGTTACAAACATTTTTTTTTCAATACATTTAAAAAAATATTTTAAACAAATTTTAACAAATCACATGGCTTAACAAGTAGTCACACCATAAGGTTACATTTTCTACATTTATAGACATGTTGATACGTGAAAAATACCTTTTCGTTAACATAACTGTGTTCATAGTAGTATTATAAAAAGCATTACAGCCTGTTGTAAAATAATTATAATAAAACACAAACAATGCAACCATCTGCTACCTATCTCCCACACAACAATTGGTAAGTGATGTGTGAGTATACAATATCAGCATCTAACCTTTTAGGCACTAGTGGTTATGAAAATCAATTAATTACTACCATTACATATATTCAGTGAACTATCAAGAGTAATCCAATTTGTATTGCAGAGGTATCAGTTGATAATTAACCTAAAAAGCCTAATGATACAATTCATGAGTATTTTTAAGGCAAAAATAATGTACACACCAAAAAAAAGCTCGCAATATTTTTTTGTTCATTGAAACATGTTGGTTCTTTCTTTATAAACTGTTTAATTATCACCACATCACATACAGAGAAAATATATGAAAGCACTAAAAAATTGTTTACAGCCATAGTTCAACTGGCAAAAAAGTGTCAAGTTTTAGCTAAATCACATTGTCAATCAACAGCAAAAAAAAATTTAGAAACTTTTAAAACAAATTGAAAGCACATTCTTAATAGAGCTTAATAAAGTACGGTGTGATGAAACTATAATTACACAATTTAGCTCATCAAGCAACAGTACAAGTGGTTAAATCAAACAAATAAATACATTTAATACATTTTGTATCACATAAAATGATCAGAAAAATATACATTTACCGGGAATGTTATAGAAAACATTTTGTACACAATAAATGCTGATACAGTTCATGAAAGTCAAGTTAAAATTACAAACAAAATGGATGGAAGAAGCAGGTACACAAGGTTAGAAAAATGAGAAAAATGCAAAAGTTGGCAACATAAAAATCCTTGGGCTCCAGACGAGGGAAGCGCAGCAAGTGGTGAACTGTGTCGGCTACAGCCATCAGGCGCAGTCCTTCTATGATGTCGTCTGACTCACACAGGTTGTCCTGCAATACATGCACAGTGTGTACGCCAATTGTCACAGGTGGGCTGACGCTGGAGTAGGGCAGTTACTGGTCAGACTAGGGTAGGGCATGTACTGGTCAGACTAGGGTAGCTGGTCAGACTAGGGTAGGGCAAGTACTGGTCAGACTAGGGTAGACCAGGTACTGGTCAGACTAGGATAGGATGTGGTGGTCAGACTAGGGTAGGGCAGGTACTGGTGAGACTAGGGTAGGGCAGGTACTGGTGAGACTAGGGTAGGGCAGGTACTGGTGAGACTAGGGTAGGGCAGGTACTGGTGAGACTAGGGTAGGGCAGGTACTGGTCAGACTAGGGTAGGGCAGTTACTGGTCAGACTAGGGTAGGGCAGGTACTGGTCAGACTAGGGTAGGATGTGGTGGTCAGACTAGGGTAGGGCAGGTACTGGTCAGACTAGGATAGGGCAGGTACTGGTCAGACTAGGATAGGGCAGGTACTGGTCAGACTAGGGTAGGATGTGGTGGTCAGACTAGGGTAGGGCAGGTACTGGTCAGACTAGGGTAGGGCAGGTACTGGTCAGACTAGGGTAGGGCAGGTACTGGTCAGACTAGGGTAGGACGTAGTGGTCAGTCTAGGGTAGGGCAGGTACTGGTCAGACTAGGGTAGACCAGGTACTGGTCAGACTAGGGTAGGGCAGGTACTGGTCAGACTAGGGTAGGGCAGGTACTGGTCAGACTAGGGTAGGATGTGGTGGTCAGACTAGGGTAGGGCAGGTACTGGTCAGACTAGGGTAGGGCAGGTACTGGTCAGACTAGGGTAGGGCAGGTACTGGTCAGACTAGGGTAGGGCATGTACTGGTCAGACTAGGGTAGGGCAGGTACTGGTCAGATTAGGGTAGGGCAGGTACTGGTCATACTAGGGTAGGACGTAGTGGTCAGTCTAGGGTAGGGCAGGTACTGGTCAGACTAGGGTAGACCAGGTACTGGTCAGACTAGGGTAGGGCAGGTACTGGTCAGACTAGGGTAGACCAGGTAGTGGTCAGACTAGGGTAGGATGTGGTGGTCAGACTAGGGTAGGGCAGGTACTGGTGGTCAGACTAAGGTAGGACATGGTGGCTATTGGTAAGGCATCATTAGCAGTGGTTAAATGTGGGCAGGGCATATTGGCCAGTAGTTCTATGTGGGTAGTGCATACTGTAGCACTAAGGTAGAGTGTGATAAAGCAAAGAATTTTTCACCTTATAACAGGTTAAAATCATCTTTGAAAATATGTGAGACACATGTTCTTTTTATTTTAGTCCATTTTCTAAAAAAAGTCAATGTTCTATATGGAAAATATTAAAATACATAGCCAAATGAAATTAAAAAAGAATATTATTAAAAATTAGTTTAGGACCAATATTTTAAGACAATATTCTCATAAAAAGCATAAGAAAATTCAACATTCACCTTTACAATGATGAAGTATATATAAAAAACAAAGTGGTACCACTCAAAGAAAGACTACTTTAATTTTCTACTGAGATCACAGGTCCTCAACTTGTATAAATGGGTCTAATTAAAATATAAATAGAGAAGACAGAAAAAAAAAAGATTTTTTGAAAAACAAATAAATTATAACTGGAAATACTATAGAAAAAAGTGTACAACATTGTGGCGTTGAGAACCTGAGGATACTATAACCACTGGATACAGAATAAATAAAAACAACAAAAAAAAAAAACTAGAAGGAATTTCCAAAATGCAAACTATTGTTCCTAACATATTCAGTTATTAATAAGATAATAAATGTTGGATCTATTTAAAAAAAACAAAACAATATAGGTGGAAGGAGGTAAAATAAAATAAACATAAAAAATAAAAGATTTAATGAACTCTTACAGAAAATGATTTTGAAATTTTATTGCTTAACTTTCAAGATTAGGTGATTCAACAAATGAACTTTCATTAATGACTAGCCTACTTCAGAAAAGCAAAAAATAAAACTACAAAAACCCTTCGAAAAATCAAATAGGCAAGTTTTACTATTTCTTGTCAAGTTTATTTGTCCTATTTACTTCAAACTTCCTGTGCTATTATGTAGATTTTTTTCTTTATTTTTTACATCAAAAGCAAAAAGCAGCTTGTAAGCCATAATATGATAGAAATTTACAACCAAATAGTTTGTTCAAAGGCTCTAACTTTATTATACAGTGTTGCAGTAGGTTAAAAATATGAAAAAAAAAACTTGAAACATTTACAATAAAGGACTTGTACAAAAAAAATGATAAGCTAACACAAAAACACATTTTTCTCTTTAAAAGTAGCAATCAGAAGATATCTAAAAGTTGTTTGTTATAGAAAAATTAATAAAAAAAAATTACATTTCAGTTTCAAAATGTAAGGAATGATTTTTACAAAATAAAAAATACAACTTACAATTGACAAAACGTTTTGAAATTAAAACATTTATATCTTTAAAAAAATCTTATCACCAGCTATTAATTAATCCATTTCCCTTTGTAAACTTTTACAAGCGTAAAATTATACCAAACAGTATACATATAAATTCCTTATGTGTGACTACTTGAAACCAAATACACTTAAACAATATTATTTAGCATAATGACAATAATGAAACATAATAAACAGTCAAACTAAATGATCATCCAGAAGACTTGAATGTGAAAATGATGTGCTTCAGTAGGAAAGTAACAACAACATGCAGAACATTAGATTCAACAATTGTAACAGTAAAGGGTCAACCAAACCTGGTGTCACACAAGTGCAAATAGGGAGGGGGAGGTGAGAAAGAATACAGTTGGGGAATTAATAATAATAATAATAATAATAATAATAATAATAATAATAACACAGAACAGAAGGATAGCAATATCTTGTTATTTTTTCTTAAAAAATGATACAAAGTAGGCTACATAAATATTGAGCAAATTTTTTTTAAGGGGGTGAATTTGAATGCCATTATACCAGAGAGGTCTGGCTCACTGCAACAAGTACAATGCTGTGGGTTGGTGGAGATGCTGTGTGACATCATTTATGGTTGGCCAGATAAAACAACTGCCAAAATTTCCATTCATGGATTTTTTTCCCAGTTGTTAGTTTGTTCAACATAATTAAGTCAGCATTTTAGGCTTCATTTTTTGACACCCATATAAAATTCTCCATTACAATATAGTGCACATACCTGATCGACTCCTATCTTCTTACAAGCATCCAAGAAATTGTCTACATTTCTTCTACATTTGGCTAGTGTCAGTTTAGGCTGTGGAATGATCACAATTTTAAAAACTTGCTGAAATCTGCTCATCAAGATGTTTAAAAATGTAAGTACGAAAAATATTTTTAAGTGATGTTAATAATATCCTTTTTTGGTGGAAACTATTGTAAGTTTGAAAGGAATAGTAATGACTAATGTATAAAGGTAAATAATAAATGGATAAATTTAACATTTGATTTAACAGTTAAAATGTTAAGTGATATGATAAGATAAAATGGTTACAGTTAAAATATAAAACTGAAACACAATAGGTACAGCAAAGGGAAGCTACCCCACTTTCATAGCATAAATTTGAATAAAGTAATAATAATAAAAAAAAGATTACTTTAAATATAAAATATAACAATGCCCAGAGTTTTGGGAAATATATAATTCTAGTGTATTCAATAAGAACAAATGTAGACTAAAAATGTACTGACTTTTGTTACTATTTAAATGGTCTTTCAACTTTTATGCCATTATAAATAAATAAAGCATGTAAAATGCTGGTAGGAATGAGTTTAATTAATAAATGGCCACTGAAAATACAAACAGCTAAGATTATAAAATGGAAACAGTTAAAATGGATACTTACAACAGCAGGAGAGGGTACATGGATACTTCCTACAGATCTAGGACGTATCTGGTTGGCCAGATGACAAAGGACCACTCCATCTCTGAGTGCCTCTGCCAAATTGTCTGGCAGTGTCACTCGAAGCCTTGTCTCTATAGTCTGATATGGGAAAACAATTATTTAATACAGCATAATTTTCTCTCCTCTCCAAATACTTCAAAAAAGACTTTGCTTATTAAAACATGGGTGAAAAAAAATAAAACAATATTCATAAAGTATTTCCTTTTTTTAAATAAAATTTTATCTTACTGATGAAAATACTTCCTTTTTAAATACAATATTGGAAGCATGACACAAACATTTGCAAATATCCTCTCACACGATTGTAGCAAGAAGCATCTTTTTTTAAAAACTATCTTTCCATAACACTTTTAAGTATTTATTTCTTCCCTTAGGGGTTCTTATGTAATGCTAGTCAAGTGATATGAATGATAAGTTGACGAGCATTAGAATCAAAGTATAATGTATACTTACTTGTCTTAATCTGTCCATCTGTTCAGCTTCCTCTCTATGCATTTCCTCTCTTCTCCTCACCACACCAGGATCCTCTATTGTTTTTGGACCTATAAAACAAACTAAATGTTAGTATTTTACATATCTGTGACAAAATGTCTTAGTATACCTAACAGCTCCCCAATGTAAATAAATATTAGAGAAAGTCTAAGTATAAATACGAGCAGCAATGTGCTAACTTTGTGAACAAAAAGGCAGTCGGGAAAACAAAATGACTGTAGACTCACCCACACGTCCTCTCCCAGAGCCGAAGTTGTTGGTGGGGGGTCTGGTTTGGATTCGTCTGTTTGTATCAACACTCTCAGGCACTCCTGGTTTCTGTATATTCCATTCAAATGTAATTAGTAAAGTTTGTTGGCTGCGTTTTCAAGAATTATAGGTTAACAATATTAAAAAGGTAGGAAGTTGAAGATTCAGGTTTCCAGAAACATGATACAAAAACAATTGTTATTAGTCTACATTGTAGAATGGCTTTAAGAAATATAACCTAACAAGACAAATCATAGTTCATTTTACAAACTGTAATTTAATAAAACATAAATGAATCAATATATAAATGTCTGTAGCCTAATTTGTAGATGGGGAGGAGCAAGTAGGAGCAAAAGAAACTAGAACAACAAATCAAACTTGTAGGGTGGGTTTTAAGAAATGCAAACCAAAAAATACAAGTCAAACTTAAGTTTAAAAAAACAAGAAAGCTAATGCTGGAAATGTGTGAGGGTGTGTTACCTTCAGTGCTGTGTTTGGTATGGAGCCTCTCTGTTTTGGTTCCTCCAGTCTAGACTTAATGCGAGAGGTTTCTGTGGTTGGAGTTGTTGGCCCTTTCTTTGGTTTGGAATCATCATCCTGAGCATACAAAAAATAAATTATTTTGGAATCCGGGGGATACAAAAAATATACTGGTTTTTAATCATCCTCAGGCTGCAAAAATAAATTGGTTTGGAATCATTCTGAGGATACAAAAAATTAATTGGTTTGGAATCCGGGGGATACAAAAAAATAAAGAGAACCATAGTGTCTACCAAGTCTACTTACTTGTAAAGTAAATAAACAGGCCTAAAAACAACAGTAACAGCCATTTTACAAGTGCCCAAGTCAATTTTGGAGTTTGAATTAGTGTTTAAATGTATAGGTCACACATATTTCAATGTTTGTCCATGATAATAATAAAAATGATAATAAAATGATAATACATAAATATTTAATCTATCCAAACATAAAAAGATAATAGAATTTTAATTAAGTTATTTTAAAGTTTATTGACAGCATGAGAAAAAAAGAGATTGCACTATGTCCAGCTATACAGTTCTGTGTGTTTTAAAACTGTATGAAAGAATAAAACAGCACTGGAGGGAACATGAAAGAAGTCTTACTGTAGTGCTACTGTTGCTACTGCGTCTGATGTTGCTTGCTGCAGGGTTCAAGGTCGTCGTTCCCTGTGGCCTTAAGTTGCTTGAACCGGCTGTTCTAGCTGAGCGTGCGGTTGTTGGACTAGATGCATTTGAACTGTTCGCAGAAGTCAAAGGTTACAATTTTAAAAATATTTTAAGGAATCTATAAAAAAATAAATTACTATAAATTGGTGTCTAAATAATTTATTTTATAAGAAATAAATAGTTAAAATTGCATGCAATTAATTTTAAATTGCAATTTATATTTTATATTTAAATATATAAAAAACTAGACATAGTTAATATTTCAGTAAGTGTTAGTTTAGTAATTATATTAAGTTTAATTTGGCATTATTAGACTGATATTTGTGGTATAATGTACGTCAGCACTTTTTTGAAAAAAAAAAGTTAAAATCTTAGTGGAAATAAAAATAGCACTATAAAAATAACATCTAGCAAAAAAATTATAAAAAGCAATTACTGATTTTTTTTTAATAAAAAAAAAAGCTAGTTTAGATAGAAAAAAAGCTTAGTTTGATAAAAATGGTTCACAAAGATAAATTTATGTACCAAATTTTTTTGTAAAACAGTCTTTGAAATTTTCAAATAAACACAGCACTAAAATACAGATACAGTTGTTAATATTGTTTAAATAGTCCTCATTCACCCAGCTACTAGGCTATTACCACATCCAAAATATTTATATGTATATACATATCTAGTGTGTACAATAGCTAATGATAAACTTGTAACCAAAACTCTTCGACTGTCTGACATCAGAACACTGAGTGCCTTATCTAATCTATTCACGTGGACAACATGAACAACTACCTGTCCCCAGCTATCTTTGTCCTCCTGACCGCCTGGTTCTGGCCGGCAGTGGCCGGGCCATTGGCCCGAGGCACGGAAGATTTGTTTCCTGTGGGCTTAGCTAACTGGGACATGGAGCCCATGGGGCTGCTGGGCTTGGCCAGCTGAGACATGGAGCCACTGGGGCTGGTGGGCTTAGCAAGCTGAGATACAGAATTGCGAGGGCTTGGGCTGGGCGAGACAGAGGGGGTCGTGGAGGTGCTGGACTGTCTTGAGTTCTCAGAGACACCACTGAAATTTTGGGGAGGTGGCATTAGAATTGAAAGCACAGAGTATAAGGGGGTTGGGATATAACAAAGAGGAAAATTCACATCAAACTTATGAAAATTGAAGGAAAAAGCACACCAATTGATAGAGAAATTATATAAGTAAGGAGAAATAAGGCTGTGCAGGATAATTTGGACAGCGCAGGTGTATACATACATAATAAAATAGTAAATAATTTAGACATAGTATGTGTAGCGCACACACACACTCGCACTGCCATAAATAAACAGCTATTTTGGGTGCTGTATGTTGTGTTGGATAAAGCTAAGTGAATACACATTGTATTGCCGTGTTTAAGTAGGTGCTTTTGTGATCAAATTGAAAAAAAATTGTGAACAGCAGAAAATAAAACTAAATGGCCAAAACAAACTTCACACAAGCAAGGTGACTGGAATAAGGTTTGATCAAATTTAAAAAAAACAAAAAACTTCCCCGTATAAAACAAGCTAGCCATCACAATTGATAAATAAAAACAAACTAGGGTTAAAAAAAAAACAACAAGGAATAGATTATTTTAATTTAAATTATCTCCTTAAATTAGAAACTGAACAAATTCAAGACTCAAATTATTAAGATGTTTGTGAAAATATCTATTAAGTAGATAATTTTACTGATTTATAAAATTTGGAAAAAAAAACAACAGAAGTAATAACCCCAGAGAATGGAACATCAAGTAAGGACCAAGGAAAAAAAAAGAAGCTTTGATTCGGTTTATTGTGTAGGGCAAAAACCTAGCAAACAAAGCAAAAAAATAAAAGAAAATTCACACAAGCGGGATTTCAAGTTTGACATGCTCACTTTCTGTTGATATAGTTAAGGGTGTCCACGTGTTGCGAGTTAGGCGATGGCTGGCCGGGCTTCTTGAGGGTATCAGACGCGGCACGTCGATACTGGTTACTGGTGGCAAGCCTTCGCTGCTCTTTGAAGCTTTGGGAGCTGAGAGCATTTCTGTAGGACGTTGCAAGGTGGTTTATGTTACATGCTTTTCATTTTCACTTCTCATTGTAATCATAAAAAAATATCTTTTATAAAAAGCATTCAGTATGTAAGCAGCCTATAATTGGCCATCATTCTGCTAATGCAAGCTAGAATTAGTCATTCACAAAGCAAATTCAACCAAAATAAAAATGCCATATGCATGTAGCTGAAGACTAAACCATTACAACTTGTTAATCTCTAGCCAACCCAGCGTGTTAAGTATTCATCCATGCAGGTATATATAAAAATATTATTTATTTTCATTTTTAAATTATTATACTAAGATATTTTAATGATAGCTTTTTTTGTGGCTTTATAAATAAGATATTTAAAAAACTTACAATAGTTGCAAATGTAAACAGATGTATAGTTATATTTCTTATATAAATATTATAACTGCATATATCCTATTGATGAAACAAAGTTTCACAGCACACAAGACACTTGCCTATCTACAATTAGAAAATTAACATCTAGGGTACAACATAGAAAAAAAATGCTACCACACCAGCTGATAAGAAAGCTCAAAGATGACTTTTCCATTAAAACTTTATACACAATAAGAAAAAGACAACACCAAAAATATGGTACGATGGAAGAAAAAAAATTTATGGATATGGCATGATGACTATTCTTTAAAAGTAACTTGGGATAGGATTAAAAATTAAAAACCAATAAAAAACCAACAACCCATTGAACGTTACTACTTAAAATATTCCTGATACGCCATTTTTTTAGAGTTGATTTAACTAACAGTCAAGAAAACATAGTCATCCAGTTATAAACCTTTGTTTATTTTCTCATCTTTTACTTCACTATATCAGAAGAGCATGCTAATCCAAGAGTAAAGAAAATGACAACTGGCACTTGTTTAGTATTGCTACTGTTAGACTAGGACAAGAAAAACAGTGTCAGCCTAGAACTAAATACAGAATAAAAAATCTCATGTTGAAACAAGAGATAAAAGTAATCAACAAAATACAACAAAAATAGATCACAACTAAAGCAAAAAATAAAAAATAAAACTATCAACCAAAAACTAACTAAAACACAAACACAACAAAATAATTTAACTAACATAACTAAATAGATCGGTGTCATTTACAAGAATTTGACTAACTCTAAGAGTTAAAACATTACAAAAAAAAGAACCCCAAAAACAATATAAAACTAAATCTATGCTAAACAACATAAAACTAATATTAACATAAAAAAATGTATAATTAAAGTTAAAAAAAAATTAATGAGAGGATATTTCTCAATAAATAAACTCCTTAAATTTAATAAGAATATTCAAAAGATGGTTTAAGAAAATTTCTTATAAAAATGTACGTTGAGATGAAATAATGAATCTGAGTGCTGGAAACTTATTAATTAGCACAAATGAATAAAAACACAAAAGAAACAACACAGACTAAAGTACACTCTATGTTCAACCACTGAACAATCAAAGTGTATGCCTATGTTTTAAATAGCAAACTGTTCCAAATCATACCTATACTCATTTTCAGTTAGGATGTAGTTACTATCTGTCCTTTGGTGCTGCGTCTGCTGTGGCATTGGGTATGTAGATGACGATGTCTGGGAGGGGCTCAGGGGCGCTGATAAGCCATGCAGGGGCAGAGATGTGGGTGGTTGTGGTGGCTGATGGAGGGAGGATGAGTGTGTTGGGGGTGGGCGAGGGTGGGAGTTGGGCTGGGTGTAGCTGTAATAGCTAGAACAAAGAGCAACAGAAAAACAATCAAAGTCAGCAAAATCTAATCTATTTGTTCATGTTTGGTGGCCTGTTTCAGCTATCCATACCTTATGTAGAATTTTTGTATAACATATCAAAATAACATATTTATTATAACTATTTTATAAGGTGTTTAAATTTTAAATTTATTTAATTATAAATATAATTTTAATTTTTTTTTTTAAATTATAAAATAATTATGTAAATTACATTTTTTTAAAATGTAAGTAAAGCACTAAATGGTTAAATTTACTAACTAAGCAATTACTGTAGCATTAGTATGAAACTGCTCTGTTGCAGTAGGCAGCAGCAGCAACATTCATTGAAACGAGCCACCACATGTGTGTTAATGATATGTACACAATACAATGACTAAAGCTTTATCACCTCCACTCTATATACAACCCCCCTTCCTCAGTTGAGATATAAACCAAAACCAGAAAATGCTTCAAATTTATTCAACTATTTACAGTAGACATATTTACATTACTAAACATCTTATCATAATAAAATGACTACATGTTTTTTTTTTAATAAAAATAAATTTATCTCATGAAATATTGAACCAAAGGTTAGAGGTGTGGGTTATAAATAATAAATATGGTTACCCAAAGCCACTTATGATTCATATAAGGGAAGGTTCTAGACAACTTTGTACAGTTAAGGTAAGACATAACAAGGTTTTAAGCTTTTTATATTTGGCAAACTCAACTCAAGGGTGTTCTAGAACAATTTACTCAAAGAGATTCACATTTTTGTACACTATCCCAGAATGCAAGGATAACAGATTAAAAGAAAAACCTCCAACAAGTCCAATTATTAACTGGACATTGGTCAATATTAATATTTTGACCAAGAAGTAAATCTTTCTACAAGTGGGCCAATCCTTATTGTTCTAAAGACTTGTTATATAGATTTGGACATGAATAGAGTAAAAACATAATTCTAGAGGTAAAACGACTTGAGAAATGTTAGTAAGGGCTGAGAATATGGCAGGAATTGGTTAAGGATGGGGAATGGTATGTATAAACTAAATAGATGGGCAATACAAATGGAAGTTAGTAAGCATCAATGGTATCTATCACTCATAATGATGGCTATCAAGTACACTATGGAAACATGGATAAAGAATAGATTAGTGACTAGATGATACATGTGGTAGAAAGTTGTGAGGTATAATAATAGAGAAGGAAATCTATAATAATAAAGAAGGAAAGGTATAATAATAGAAAAGGAAAGGTATAATAATAGAAAAGGAAAGGTATTATAATATAGAAGGAAAGGTATAATAGAGAAAGAGGTATAATAATGGAAATATGGGACTGCGCGGTCTAGAGCTCGGCTGCTAACCTGAGAGTCTCAAGTTCGATACTGGGTTCAAATCACTGGAACTTCCCTGAGTCCACCAAAACTCTGATTGGTACCTAATTGAAGTTAGGGAAAGGTAAAGGCGGCTGGGCATAGTGCTGACCATGCTACCCTTTCATATGCCAAAGTCTCTGAAGCAGACAAACTCAACTTCATCTGCCTTGGGCATGAATGGGAAATGATGATGAATAATGGAAAGGTATAATAATAGAGAAGGAAAGGTCTAATAGAGTAAATAAGGATAGAGTGGATAAGGTAAAGCCACAATCACTAAAAAGTTGTGGTTGTAGTTATAGCTAGAAACTGTGTTAGATGCAACAGTGCTGTGTTAGATGGAGAGATGGTATAGTTATACTTTCCCAGTGTTAAATGGAATGATGGTACTGTTAGATTTTGCCAAGTGTGTTAAATGGAGTGATGGCACTGGTAGATTTTGCCAAGTGCGTTAAATGGAATGACGGTATAGTCATCTTTGCCAATGGTATTTATTATTTAATGGAAAGAATTTGCCATGTGTGTTTAAGATACCCACTGCCTTAGTACTGTGCTAGTAGGTAAAATTATATTTTCCCACTGTATTACTAGCTAACGTGAGTTGTTTTGTTCTGCAGTAACTGCCTATATGTTGTTATATGACAAAAAGCATCTTTAAAGCAGGTTAAATTTCACTTCTAAACAAAAAATACTGATAAACCGAATTAACTTTTACTATTCTCAAATTTAACAAAGTATTTAATTTAATTTAATTTAATTTAATTACAAGTTAATTGAAAAATTGGATTAATTAACTGTCAAGATAAATTCTTATTCTTAATTAGATACAACACTGTATTGCAATAAACAAATCTTGTTATTTAAATCTATGGCATGCTCTTGTAAATACTAAAGCTGGGCTATGTCAGAGGGATAAAGCAAGAATAGAGAAAGATAAACTTTTAAAAAGATTCATGCTGAAATAAGACATACCCAAACTTCGACACATTTCTTTTTTTTTTTTTTAAAACAGAAAAGTTGAAAAAAATAATAATTCAGTCTGCAGTTTAATTGGTATTTCAATAAGTTTGAACAAACCACATGCACTAAAGTGTAAGGGGTAGGAGGGCAAATGAAGATAAAAATAACTGGACATGCCTATGACATATTGCATGAGTCGTAAGCATGATGCAGTTTCTGCTGTATCTTATCAATGTGTGTCACAGGGTACAGTTAAGATCTGACTGTCTTGTATAAGCATACAAGCTATGAGCTGCTGGTGGGACTAGAAAGGGTGATGTTTAAAGCAGATTCTTCCACAGTACATACACAACAAGGATGTTCTTTTTCTTTCTACCAATCATAAACAGAGGGGTAAGGAGGGTAATAAAACACCTAATCCAACAATATCAGATTATAAGATCATAATTGCTACTTATAAATATCAATTCACCAGTTGAAACATCAGTTCATATTTACAAATAGCAGTTGAGCAACAGATGAGATGATATTTATAGTTTTCGTTGGTCAGTAAACAAAAAGTATCATTTTGTTTTACTTAAGTGAATATTTAGAAATATTTATAAATATATTTTATATCAGTAACAAATGATATTTATAAATATAGATCAGTACTACAACATTTACCATTTATAGTATGCTTACAAGAAAGACATTGCTAAAATATTAGTTAATTGGTATAAATATAGTGTAAATATTTACACTATAACAATTATATTTATAAATATCATTTATCACTAGAAAGAGGATATTTGAAATTATCAAGTTTTTAATTAGCAAGATTAAGGTTATATAAATATTATTAATCTCTCAATAGTTTAGTATTTTTTTAGGATGATATGATCAGAAAGACCTGACCACAAAAAACATATACATATGTTAAAGTTGTTAAGTTATTGAAGTTTAAACATGCATTCACATACTTGTTGGTGATTTTATTTCTGTCTGCAGGTTTTGATTCTGTGGGTTTCTGGATTTCATTGAGTTGCCTCAGCTTGTTGTCCTCTGTGTTTCTGGGGATGGAAGAGAAAACATCCTAAACAAAAATTAAAAGAGAGCACCAGTGTAAATCCCTTAAAAGACATGCCACAAGATAGCTAAAGTAATTGGTATCTGGAGTTTTGGCTAAAAAACACAATTATCCAAACAATTGATGCGAATTCTTCTACTGGTTATTTACATTCATCTCACCATTTAATAAACTGACATCCATGGATGAGAAGAATGTCTATTCCAAAATAGATGCCTACATACTTCAATCAGCAATGTCAATAAATGTGTTTATACAAATGGATCTGATTTTAATCTGACACTTACTTCTTATAAAATGCAATTATATTTATACAGAAGATATGATACAAAGGATAGATAAAAGAAAAAATATAAATAAATAAAATTATGTTTAAGTGTTTTCATGGAGTATTACAATATGGAATTTAAAAAAATAACTTACTGGTTGCGAACACTTTCTTGTAGTCGCAGTAATTCTCCCTGTCTGGCTGCCTCTTCTTCTTCCTCTCTCCTCCGATTCTCCTCCTCTAGCCGGAGTCTCTCCTCTTGTAAAAGAGCTTCCTCCTGCCTCCGCTGCTCCTCCATTCTCTCCTTTAAAAGCTTTTGTTCCTCTAACAACTTCAATGCTGCTCGCCTCCTCTCCTCCTTCTCCCTCTCCTCCTCCTCTTCTAAATGCTTCACTCTCACTTGTTCTGCGTGTTTTTTCTTCCTCTCATACTCAGCTTTCTGTCTCTTAAGCTCCTGATATGCATAGTCAAGAAAACAAACATTAAGCAATTCTGTTTTTCAAAATTAACTTTAAACTACAATAATGACCATTTATTTGCTAAAATGGAAATGAGAAATGTATGTTATAGACAATGATGAATAACTATGTTTATATTTTACAAACGCATGGAATCTTCTTTCAAAATGTCATTAGGGGTGAGGTATGTGATTAAATTAAAAAGCTGGTTATGGATATAATAAAGACTGTTGTAAAAAGTTTAAAAGGAAAGCTCGAGTATATTAAATTGTTATTAAAAACCTAGTTGAAAAGAATCACTAGAAATTTTTTTTTAAAAGTAACAAAAACCAGACTAAGGCTTGGAGGATATATAATAGAAAACAGCTAGAAGGCCTATTTTAAAATAACACAACTATTTTGTGGTTTGAATTAAAGTTTCAGATTTTAACAGGATATGTTAGTTAACTTTAATTTTATAAATTTCTTCATCAAGCAGAACATACAAAGTTTTATCTGCCTGTACACCAGACAGGCTGAATCTTACACTAACATAATCCATTTTTTGTATTTATCTATTGTACTTTGTCAGAAAGACAGACTTGTTTCAATGAAGATAAAAAAAGTTAATAACTAAACATCCTGGTTATCACAGCAACCAAATAACCATCTGAAAGGTAACTTCCATGATGCATAAATAATAGTCGTTGAGTAAAGCAGTTAAGCATATACTAAGGCTGAAGTTCCTAATTAGTTGTTTTAAGAAAGGGCTAAGCGCCATGCTTTAATTCAATCTAGAATTCATGCCAGAAGCTTATCTAGGAAAGTTAAGTTTTAACTACAGCAATGTACCAAAATCATCAACCTAAACCTGAAAGCTTGCTAAACGATTGTAAAACAAGTAATGTTTTAACTGCAGCAATGTACCATAATCCCAATCTAAACATGAAAGCTTGTTGTTACGTTTGTCTGGGGAAGCAATGTTTTAACTACAGCAACAAACAATAACCAATCTACATCTAAATGCCTGTTTAATAGTGAACTAAAAGCAAAGAAAAAAATGTAATGCCTGCTTAACCCATGATTTAAGTTCATATAGGCAGGTCTATTTGAATGCTAACAAAAAAATAACAAACCTTGTGCGAAAATTGATATAAATAGATTTAGCTTAATAATATTGTGTTAGGGAGAAATAGCAGTAGTTATCGCAGTAAAGAAAAACAAAAGCTATATATATATGTACTGTCGATACAAGTGCAGATGATTCAGTTGTAAGTGCAAAGTCCCATATTGAACAAAAAAATGGTTTGTTATTAAACATTAAAACTGTTTAAAAGGGCAGGGAATAGGTCAAATGAGGTGAAATAAAAATGAATGCAAATAACTAGACTGACCCTAGTAAACTCGTCCTCCATATCACCTGTCATAATTATAGGTGGCGTTGGTGGAGTAAGAGGAGGGCTAGTCTCCCCTTCATGCTCTGACTCACTTGGTGGGCGAAAAGAACTAGTGCTGTAGTGCGAAGCACTTTTAAGACTAGACGAGTTTGACGGTGTGCGATACAAATGATTTGCATGATTGTCTGCTTCATAGGCCACTCGAGTAGAGTGGTAGGTGGAATGTTCTGAACTTATACTCTCAGACTGTGAATTTTGTCTCGTAGGGTAGTCAGAAGAGCTTCTAGGACGCATCTGCATGCTGCCGGATTCTGAAGGCTGAGGGCTAAATGATCGATTGTGTAATGCGTTTTGATTGTTGTTATTCTGGCTGGTAAAAGACGGACTGGGTGCACCAGGTCTGCTGCGGAATGGTAAGCTCGGTGATGGAGGGTACATGTTGGAGGTGTGAGTGGAGTAGCTGGATGATGTAGGTATGTGGGCGTGTGGGTGTGGCGGGGGACGGTGGAGTGGGTGGCTCGAGGTCTCTTGCGAATGGCCCCGCTGACTCAAATGAGATGCCACAGGTGACATGCGTCCGTACCGAACAGGTTCCTGATTACGAAACTCGTGCGGGTGTAAAGCACCCCGGAGGCCGTTAGATGCGTTATTGCTGTAGCCCTGCAGGTGATGATAATGAAGATGTTGCTGCTGCTGCTGATTGTAAGGGAAACTCTGAGCTGGTGCTTGTTGGCCCTCACTGTCCCCTCGTCCACGATTGCTCTCGTCATGCAAAGGAAAAACCTATGATATTTTTTTCACACATCATTCAATTGGCATGATGGGTGGAAAAATGCCAGGAAATGATGAACAAGGCAGAGTGCAGTTAGAAAAAAAAGCCGCATGCCATGAAGCAGCATGTATGGTGATGGATGTATTGCATACACCACAAAGATATAAAGTCATCATCAATGCCATTATGTTGCACGGGTTCGTTCATGGTCGGGATAGTGTTCAGTTAGATGGGGATAATAAAAAGAAAAGAAAAAAAAAACAACATACATTAGTACAACACTTAGTAATGACATGCTAAATAAAAATAACTAAATAAAATTAATAAGCAAATGAAGACACTAAACTAACTGATTAAGACATACTAAATGAAATATTCGAACTCCATTGTTGTTTTTTTTTGGGATATTTTTCAGACTTTAAAAAAAATAAATAAGTAATACATATAAAAGAAAGTGTGTGCTAAAATGAAACCTAGTAACATATATATATTATCAATAAATACTTAAGCTGTGTGCTTGATAGTGAATTAGAGTGTTACTGACACAATTAAATAAATCAACTAACGTTGTGAAATGTAATATGACATGATAACTATCCATGATGAATGCTGCTGTCTTAATTTTTTCATTAGCAACTTTAACAATAACTTAATGGAGAATCTATTCTTAATCAATATAAGCCCCAGCACGCTAGCCTAAAACCTCACAGCAACATGCCACATCAAATTTGAAGCGCCTAAAATAACTTACACCTTAAATTGACAACCAAATTAAAAAAAGCACTTAAAAATGACATTTAATAAAAAATAATAATATTTAACACATCATGTAAAGCCGAAAATAAAACGTAAACCGTTTTAGATTAACATTTAAAAGCAAACACGTAAATAAAATAATGATGATAATTATTTGTTAATATAACATAACTGAAGACTGCAAAATGTCAACTAAATGAACCCTATCAGCTCACTGTGAGACGCTGAGCACAATTGATTGAGAATAATAAAATTAGTGGTTTGATTAAAACTAAAGACTGGAGTACAAGTACAAAAAAACAACACATTACCTCTCCACTTTGCCACCCATTCCTTTCTGCTCCATCACATGTGCTGTAGCCTGAATCATTGCTGAGGACTGTGTGCCTTTTCCATTTGGATTCAGGAGCACCCAGCATGGTTCGGAACTCTTCTGATGATCTAAAAAAAGATTTTAAATTACAATTTAAAAAAACCATCCATTATTTTTTATAATTATGTCAGTCAATTTCAGATACAGCACTAAATTTCTTGGAAACATTTATTTTTATTAGCACTAAATTTCTTGAAAACTTTTCTTTTTATTAAACTAAATTAACTAAGAAACTGTAAATCTTAAGTAAGAAACATATAACTATAAACACACTTACTGTTGTGGTGGTAATGACTTCCTTGAAAATCGCTTCATATCATTATCACTGTTCATTATTATACCCCTCTTTCTATCCTCTTTAATAGCTTCTGTATGGAGGTATTTCATAATGTGCTGCCTTCCTTTTGTGCATATCTGAAATGTTTCATCATATTTATAAATTCAGTCTTCCTGAGCTGAAACAATGACTTAAACTGAAGCAACAGACAGAAGCAGTACTTACATAGGCTGGAGGTGATGATAATGGGTTGTGGTCCAAAATAAATTGTTCCAAGGTTTCCATTTTACGAAAGACAGTAGGAATTCTTTCAATTCTGTTACTAGAGAAATCCAGTCGAAACAACTGTAGTCGACTGATTTCTAAACAGAAACAAGTTTGCCATTAGAAATAACTTTAATAATTTATATTCACTTCAAGTGTTTTCTACAGAAAAAACAACAAAATACGTCATTTTCATTTTTGGAATAGGAATAACATCCAACATTTTGTGCATTAAAAAAAGCAGAAATTAGCTATGCCAAGCGTCTTACCAAAAGGTAATTCAACAAGAAAGTTGCGTCGCAAGTTGAGACATCGCAAGGATACCAAGTCTCCTATTTGTAAGGGTAAATGAGAAATTTCATTGCAGCTGACATCCTAAGGAAAAAATAAAATTTTGTTAGGGCAATAAACAAAAATGACCAGCCTGACCACCAATTTGATATTTACAAAATTTGATTAACCATACCTAAATTATTATTCAGTTTGTAAAAATCAAAATTGTACATAGTTTGGAAGTGACTTTCATGATCATGAGGCACAAACATATTTATGACCTAGCTTATGAAGGGGTTGTGTGGTGAGCACAATACCTGGGTTTGTACTTTCCCAAACTTTACGCATGTACAGAATGTACTCATCAGAGCTGGGTGGAAAAAGGGCGTACAATGGAGTCTAGCAACTGAGCATGAACCATCTATTCAAGTAATCTTTTGACCTACCAATCAATATTACATTCCAAGCCTAAATCATCTGTGTGACAAATTTTTCTTATTCCTTTTGGCTAACACACAATCTGTGGCTTTTAAGAAAATCTCAAGCCATGAAAATCCAGACTCCCCCATCTCTCTTTCAATGATATCCACCACTTTTGGTTTCATCTTCTTCACTTGTGGGTTCTAATCCAGCTAGGCAGGTGCTAGAGTGGAATGCCATGCTCTAAAAATTAAAATATCTAATATAATAAAAATATTTTACCAGGTCCATGAGATTCTCAAGCTTCCCAATCTCCTCAGGCAGAGAGACGAGCTTGTTGTTACTTGCTGACAGTACTTCAAGAGCACTCAGCAAGCATAAGGCAGTAGGTAGAACAGTCAGCTGGTTACGACTGAAATCACAAGGTTCATTTATATAGTGTAACATTGTACATAATCTTAACACCATCTAATTAGAAGATGACATAAATTAAATCTTATTTCTTAGCCTATTAAATTTAAAACATAAATAACTACAACTTTACAGCATGATTCACATAACCACAATGGTATTCTATTGCTATTTTCTGGTGGAATAATCGTCACTCAATGTCAATGTTCTTGAGCAATACGAATATAGTTTTGAGTTTGATAAGACCTGCCTGCTATTTATCAATACATTTCCGAAAGTGCACACACTAAGAGACATATAAAACTATTATGATTTGCATTTAACAGATAATCAAATAAAACAAATTCACATGTTTCATAATGGGTTAAATTATTAAAATCTGGTGAAGCAAACCTGAGATTTAAATGTGTAAGAGTCTGTAGTTGTGAAATAGCATCAGGAATGGAGCGGATGACATTATGGTAACAGTTGATTCTTTCAACAAACAAATATTCACACACTTCATGGGGAAGTTCTGTCAATCGGTTTCTTGAAATGTCTGGAGAGTTACAATAATTCAATCATTATTTACTTAATCAACTAACATGTTTAAATGATGTAGGCTACATACATTATCCTGAATCAGCACTACAATGTAATAAGCAAAGTATAATTATTACCTAAAGGTTACCATGCTTATAATTAGTTTAATATTTAAACTAAGCTATGACAATTTGCATATTGTTAAGTATAGGTTGGTGACTTTGATCACCTGAATATGTATTATTTTGCATTTGCAGCCTGAGCCCCAATGGAGAAAAAAATAATTAGCTCTATCATGTGCAAAACGATCATTTGTTAATGAAACAAAAATAAAGATAAGTGCTTAGAAACTTGAATATGTTTATCCACCGAATTCTTCAAAACTTAAAAAAAATCCTGCATTAATTATAGGCCTACCAGTTTTTTATTTCTTTAATTTTAAAAATACATATTGTTCAGCTCTGGATTATTTCATTTATAAAAAAAAATGAATTACTGCTCTCAATGTTTATTTATTATGATTAATCACTAATAGGTTCTAAAGAAATGGTTTACTTGTATTAATCACTAAAGTTATTATTAGAAAGTCAAGTGGACTAATGACTAAATTGCTGATCCTATATCAGAATAATACTAAACACATTTTTTTAAATGAGATGAATACATACAATCAGTAGACTGTGCACTTACACAACATATTTAGTAATGGCATTCAAAGGAAATACTCTTGAGCTGCCATTTATTATTTAAATATTAAAAAACCATGTGCATTGTTGTTATAAAATAAAAACAAAATTTTGTGGGTATTGTATTGTATGACTTTTCTAAAGATCATATATATTTGAATAATTTAGTGTTTTTAAATTTTTCTGTAACTAACCAAAATCTAAAAACAATCAGGTTTGCTTTCATATTTTACATGAAAAATATTAAACAAAAAATGGGCCAGGTTTCATGTACAAGTTAGTTATTAAAATTATTTACTGGAAATGGTTTGAGTAAAAGAGACTCTACCTGGTTTTTCATTAACTTATAATTTAGTATACATCTAGGTCTAATTGATATGATCGCAGTGCAATATGTAGGCCTAAATTTATAACAAATTAGTTTAAAATGTTGTGAGACATGCTACTAACTTACTAACTAGCCATCCCCCCCCTCAACCCATCTAATATCTTGGACTAGGATTAGCTTAAGCAAAGTAAATTATTAGATTCACTAGGCCTAGCCTAACTAACAGTATTAACCCTTGGCCTTAACCCTTTGAACCCCAGGTACTACTTTTTCAATCTGTGTCTTAAATTTACATGTCCAGGAAGACTGATAAATTGGCCTGCGACACTTTACAAGTCATTGAAGATGAGTTGGACTTAAAGATTACTGTCAGTCTGAATTGGAAACTGTTTCTGATGACCATTTGTCTGACAAAGCAAGTGCTACAGATAATGGACAAACAGCTCCTAGTCCTGGCTCTCTAGAGACAACTGGTGTGGAAGGGGACGTAACAAGGCACCAAACAAGTTGGATACAGGATGGTTACCTGCTAATGTGTTTACTTGGATGTCAGCAGAATATAGAACCTTTGCATATTGATACTGCCTAAAACCCATACCAGATCATATTTTATTTTACCGGAAAATAAATAGTAGTGACAAGATTATTCCAATCAGAATTGTTTTTAGATAATAATTTCTAGTACTTTTGTAAGCAGACAAATATCATGCAAAGAATTACTATGCAGCTACAGTGCCAGAGCTAAAGGCATTCTTTGGTCTAAGGCTTCAAAAGGAATACTCGTGTAAAACAAAAAGTAGCTCTACAACAAAAATGTCATTATTGTCTGTTCCTTACCAGACATGGCATACTAACATAAGCCATTCAAAAAAGTGAAGTTTAAAATTTTGGTGCAATTTTGCCACACCTACCTAAAGTTTAGACTAAAAGAAGGGTCTACATGTTGGGAGGACTGGCGGTGAACTGATGCACAAATGTTTATTAGATTAATGAAGTTATGTTAGACTAGTTTTTATATTTGTGTAGTCTTCATTTTGCATTGAAAGCCTGTTTTAGATACATTCCCTAAAAAGGTCAGTTGGGGGGGGGGGGGGGAGGGAGAAGAGATTTTTCAGGCCAGAAGCTCAGGGCTCAAATGGTTAAGCCTAGATCTCTAGATCTAGGTGTTTTTGTAACAATTAAATTTGGGCTAGTTTTTTTGTTCCCATATTGGATGATTATAGTTACCGGTGTCCGATAATAGACTCTTCCATAAAATAGGTGTGTTGGGTTGTTAGTAGTATTGTAATCTCGATTAATTTTATGGTTTTGAAATTACGTTTAGGCGTATGGTAGGACCAGGGTTGCGGTTAGGGACAGGGTTAGCATTGACATTAGCCAGCCATGTGTGTATTTAGTAAAGTTAACTACCAGTAACCTAACACCCCCTTTTTAAAGAAGATTCCATTATCGGACACCTGTGTAAAATTTTGTCAAACAAAATAGGAATGATTGGAAAATTGATGTTATGTCCATTACAACAACTAGGCTTGATCTAGATTAGCTTCTCAGTAGAGTTTGTAAGCCCACTGAGCCAATTTTTTTCACAACAAAATAAAAAGTTGGAATTCAAATCAATGGATTATGGATGAAGTTCCTTTTACTTTTGTTCTCAAAACAAACATTTTATTTTTATTCAAACATGAATTTTTTAATGAAACATCAATCAATAGGCATATTTGCAATTATTTGAATATAGACCTAGAGATCTAGATGAGTTCTTTTATTGTGTCAAAGAAATAATTTTGCTTTATAAAATAGCGAAAAGCTATTTTATTTGTAACACAAGATGAATCAGAATTCTCGGACTTCATTGGGAATGTGTGGAAAATCGAAGGCCTCGCTCGTCGGCTACACGTAAACTTACCCACAAGTATTGTATCACTCAAATCGTATTTACTACATAGCTTAGGATAATCTCTCAATTTTCGTCCATTTAGATAAATCTCTCCAGTAAATTGGGCTTCTTCAAATACCCGATCAACAGGCCTTCCTATTGGAGGTGGGCTTTGCAAGCCCGACCCATAAGAGGCCGCCATTTTACTTTTCATCTTCCTCAGCGGAAGTTTTGTTTTCCTGTGAATGCGCAAAATGTATGCGCACAATACAATACACTCTGAGTCATGTAATGGGGAAAAAGGCGAGGATTGGTAACGAGCAGGTTCGTTTCTCGGCTCTTGACCGCTGACATGTTTCATAAGCGACTATAAATAGAACATTTCATGCACGAGTCAAATCATCGCTCATAAATTATCTGGCTCCAACCTTAAATAATTGTAATATTATAATTTTTTATTTGAAGGAAAAAGTTTAGAAAAAAAACCCACATTGGATTAGGCCAAACACAAATTAACTGGGATGGTGAAGAACTTTAATAAGTCGTAAAGCGGAGTAGGGAAAGGGCGAAAGATTCCCCCGGGAACCAAAATGTTATGTTATTCAGCTGATCAGCGTACTGGTTTAGCCTTTTATTTATTTTTGGATCACATGTATCTAGTTATCAATTCAATGAATTAATTATAATTAATTAGGCCTATTTATGTAAGAATCTTACTAATATTTTGTTTTCTAAACTATTTAAATGTGGTTTGTGAAAATTTAAATTGATTTTTAAAAAATTAAAATAAATATTAATAAAGCGAATTTTCAGTCGAATTAAAATTTTCTTCCAAGCACTATGCTCAGTCTCCTTTATTTTCCCTAACGCGAGTTAGATATCAGAGCTGGGTGGACTAAGGGGCTTAAGCCCGGATTCTAGCCTGAAACTTTCGTGTCAGCATGATACGTGTATAATTTTTTCAAAAGGTTACAAATTATAAACCTCTGTTGCTTATTTAAAAAAAAAAAAAAGCATGAGCGACTTCGACCTGTGGAGCTTGGACTAAAGGCAGCCATGGTGGGAGGGTCTGGTAATTACCATATCGGCCACTGTTGACATTTAATGGCCATCACATGACCGCGAGCAAATTTTATGGCGCGAGGCAAGAGGGAGAGATGGGGGGGGGGGGGGGGGGGGTCGGTTGGTGGGGTGGTCTGTTAGGGGTGAAATACAACTTAGCCTTTGGTAGTTGGTCAACTAGTGTTTGTGTGTGTGTTTGTCTTTCCTCGCTATGGCTTTTTATTAATACACATGTCAATACAATGAGGTCATTATTAAAGGAATACGGACGAGAGTGTGTGACGGTGTGTGGGTGGGTGTGTGTGTGTGAGGGTGTTAGTGTGGGTATGTTTGACGAGTTTAAAAAAAAAAGATGAAATAGTGAAGAGAGTAATTAGCTAAATGTAAACTCAGCGAAGTGTAATTAACTTGAGAAAATGTATGTGTATGTAAACCTAAATATTAATCTTGTCTAATGCATTATTGTGTGTGTGTGTTTTAAGAGAGGGGATGGCAGAGGAGGGTTAGGGAGGCAGGTTATAGTAGAAAGGTAGAGAGAGAGTGGGAGGAGGAGAAATATGGGAGTATGAGTTTTAAAGAGAGAGAAAATGTGGATACGTTAGGTAGAGAAAGGGAGAAAACGAGAGAAGGTGAGGAGAGTGGAACAGACAAAGCAGGCAGAAGAGAAGTCTCATTTAGCACTAATCAATGGTAAACCACGTGATGGCACCTCGATCAATAAGCTGCCCGGTCATTGGCCTCTATATTTCTTCGATAAAGAGGAATGCTTGAGGTAAAACAAAAAAGACGATAATACACGCGATAAGTATACTCGTAGATCTATCATAAAAGTGTAGGTGTATTCGTCATTCTAAAACAATATAGTCTGTTAAGACGTTTCAAGTCTAACACCCCTCTAACCCAAATAAGATGCATAACGTAATGTATACAGTAGGGTTACATTAACTCAAATTGTTTAGTATACTGTTCAAGGTGATATTAAGCCACTCTTCTAGGAGAGACAACTACAAAAATTAAACAACTACTGCCTTGTAGTTTGTTCTTGGTTGGACAAAGGCTATGGAAGCAAATCCAAAAACAATAGCAGGCTGAAATCGGAGTCAATGGCCTCAATGGCGCATAAACAGTTGACACGTAACGCTTAATTGTGTTGGAGGCGTGGTCTAGTCGGCAAAAAGCTCATGGTTGATAAATTCGAACAAAGTCTCGAGTTCAAACCTTATACTGGCAGATAAATCTCGATCCCCTTCAACACTAATAAAGAAGAAGAAGAAAGAAGAAGTCGAGAAGAATCCAGCTAATCACACAATTCAGTAATAAAACTTTTTTCCCCCCAATCATACGACTAGTCTCAAGTCTGTAGGCCCTATTCGAGATTCAGCGATTCTAGTTTACAGTGTAGTACAATACAGTTCAGCGTGCATAGTGATCTCCCCTGATATAGAATTCCACAGATCGTTAACGCCATCTGGCTCTTGTTTCCCCAAGACAAGACGCGCCACAGCACAAGCCTGCTCATAAGCTACCTACTACCGGTGACGTCATCTGCCGTCTGACTCGGAACCAGCGAGTGACGTCACGAGGTGCGAAGCATGCGGCTCCAGCCCCAGATGACAATGTGCTCACAATCACCGCACGCGGTGGCCCGTTACAAACATGCACACCGGAACAGGTAATGGAGCATGCGCGGTGTACGTTGTTCTGTCACACAGGCGCCGTTTGAAGTTTGTTCCGCGAAAATCTTGAAGCCACATTTTTAGTACGACGAGGTCGTGTGATCCAAGTCCATTAACTTCAGGTTAGACAAGCACAGAAATGAGAAAAAAAGTTGTCTTTCTTTGAGGTTAAAAAAAAAAGTTACATAAACTCAATACTTTTTTTTTTTAATAAGGCCTAGATCTACATAGAATGAATAAGATAAACATAAAAATAAAAAACTCTTTTATACACCCTTTCCCGAAATACGTTGCCCCGGTAACTAAGTGTTTACTTCGTTCAGACACAGAGATAACATGCAGAGCACATTTATCTCACCACTTTCTAGCTGAGTTATCTCTCTACTGAGATAACTCATGATTTAGTTCTTGGCACTTTCGGACCACCTCAGGCATTGGTGTGTACTCGTCTGTGTGTGTGTGTGTTTGTGTCTCTTTGTGTTTATATACGTGCATATATACGTGTGTACGCTTGTGTTTGTATTTGTGCTGTTATGGTATATTTTTTTATATGAATTAATAGCGTTTTAAAGACAGATAGTAGGTATTTTGGTTGGAAAATAAGCTGAGAGGTAGGTATAGGCCAGAGACTACACATTAAGTAAGCCTAAATGTAAATGAAAAATTTATTACTGAATAAATGCAGCCAAATTTACAATATCATTCTCCTGAAAAATATCAAAGAGTTAAGACAGTTAAGTTTTATAAAAACAACTTGATAACTAAATAATTACTAAGTATGAGTTTACTCTCATTGTGTTTAAATCTATTAGTTAGTTTTGGTTGTTACCTTTCTGTAAAATGACTGACGTAATATTCGCTAAATATCGAGCCTTCCCCTCCCCTTTCCTCCCATCCCCAGAAAAAATTGTAGCTCTTCCTTGTTTCCTGTAACCCTTCCCCACCCAGCTCCAATCAAGGGGAGATTAACGCCGTCGACTGAATAACGAGAGTTACACAACCTTGAAATCTCTCGACCTTGGAGCAAGGCTACAATTTTTTAAGTGCATTCTTTCAACGGTTATTCCTGGCACACGTAATACTGGTAGCGTGCAGAGAAGGGAGAGTAGTATGATGGGGTGGGGGGGGGGGGGGAAGAAAGAAGTAGGGTGATGTAAGCTATTAATTCTCTCTATTTCATCATTTTTGTACAAAGATTGTTGTTTGTGTTATATAGCGGATATCACAGCTTGAATAATCACACGTTATTTTTAAAAGACTGTTTACCAACGTTGTGTAGGTTGCTATTTTGTGAAGAAGTATTAAAAAACATCAACAACCAGGTAGTCTTAGTATCTATGCTGATGTAGATCAGTGTTTCTTTCAGACTTAATTTTTCCGAGAGAAGGGGGGGGGGGGGCGGACATTGTAGGACTCCATATATTGTTGTTATTTAATATTTTAAAAAATATATTATGAATTTTTTGTCTAGCCTTTCAATTATAAATGTATGAAAAAAAGTAATATTACTTTAGTACAATTAATTCTAAAACTATTAGTTGTATGAATTACTTAATTTGTTGACTTGAACATTTTCACTTATATTATTGTTTTCTGGTATTGTAAAATAAAACTTAACCACCATTAAAAAAAACAACAAAAAACAACATAATATTTAGTATTTTTTTTTCTTAAAAAAAAAAGTAATATTATTATAATGTAAACATAACAAAAATTACAAGATTGCTACGGACTCAATAGCTCAACATACCACAGTTATGTCTCCTTTAAGAAAAGTTGACACAACAACAAGAACAAAGCAATACTTTATGTAAAATAAAAACGCACAAAGGAAAAATGACTTAGAGACTCACAAACATAATAAGGTATATAGAACTTCGTACACGAAGACAATCGAAACTAAATGTTTACAATACAATGCCATAAAGTATTAAAAGTGTGCATGAATAGACATAGAACAACATTAAAATTTGTTTTACACCAGCCGCTTTTAGTTTAAATACGACCATGTCAAGGGACGCCCGAACAATTCCAACATTGCTATAGACGTCACTGGTATTATACCTCATTAACAATTGCATGTGGCGGAGCCAAGAAAAAAAAGGAGGGGGGGGGGGTTGTGTGAGTAGTTATGATCTATATGACACTCTCTATAACGTGACACGTTTTCACATTTATAAAGTACATAAAGGGGGTGGAGGTGGTAAAACCAGCCCCTCTGTATTAAGGTAAGTTCCTCTTTAGACCTTAAGTTTTATGAAGTAGAGTTCATATCTTTCTTGAACTCTGCAAGTGTATGGATAGTGTAGTCAGCTCTATGTCCAGCCTTTTTTTTACTTTCCTGAACGTAAGTGAGGTACCCATGAGTGGACTCAGGGACGTCCTATAGTCACAAGTCCGAATCGAGATCTGAACTCGAGACATTCAGACTAGCAGCCAAACGCTCTACCATTCGACCACGCCAATTCTCATAGCGTAGACAGGAGAGATAAACTCCACCCCAGAGGTCGTTGTGAGTAAACGCACCCATGTCTTTCACGTCATCCACACACACTGAAGCAGAAGAATGAAGAGAATCGGTAAACCCACCTGCCAAGATTCCAGAGGATAACAGATCCCATGCCAGCTACAGGTAAACCTGACATATCACCGCTGTAAACCAGGTAAATGACGACAATGGCGCAACGCGGATTAACATTCTAATACATCCTCTTGCGGATTAACATTCTAATACATCCTCTTGCGGATGAACATTCTAATACATATTCTTGCGGATTTGCACTCTAATACACCCACATCCTCTTGGGGATTAACATTCTGATACATCCTCTTGCGGATTAACATTCTAATACATCCTCTTGCGGATTAACACTCTAATACATCCTCTTGCGGATTAACATTCTAATACATCCTCATGCGGATTAACATTCTAATACATCATCATGCGGATTAACATTCTGTACCCCGTTTTGCGGATTAACATTCTAATAATCCTGTTGAGGATTAACATTCTAATACAATATACTCTTGGGGATTAACATTCTAATACATCCTCTTGCGGATTAACATTCCAATAATCCTGTTGAGGATTAACATTCTAATACATCCTCTTGCTATTTTTCCATCTTGGCTGCTGATACAAGGATGAATGTCATACATGACAGAGTGTACATTTTTTTGCAGTAGTCATAGGGTTTATTCTATGTCGAAGCAGAGGGTGCCATATAGTTGTTGAGTCTGATTAAAAATAAAATAAGATAAGAGTGTGGTCCTTTTAGTGGTTTATAGGGGGTGTCGTGGTATTTGATAGGATGAAGGCCCATGCAGGGACATATTGAGGAGAGGGGAGGGGGGGGGGGTGATCTGCAGAAACAAGAGACCCATCCCATTCTCCGAATTAACAGCCGAAAATTGATATTTCATAGCTACAACAAAATAAATTAAAAATCTCGTTATAATTGTAATACTGGACCTCGGATACATTAATATTTCCAGTTCCGTTAATCATTAATGGAGGCGAAAGGGAGGTTTTATGTGTGGTCATTGACTTGAGGCACGTTCACACGGCTTATACCGCTAATTAAAAGCTAATCAATCCACGAACCTGTCGAACTTTCCAGAACTATTATTGATTATGCCGTCTAAATCATAAAGCCGCTAAAGACTTTCTTCGCGGAATGGGAGCTGCTTCGAAGGGAAGTAAGCTGGTATTTCAAATAACTGTATCTATATTATTGCCTTGTCGCCCTTTGAGGAATTTCAATGTTGTTTTACAGCAGAATGATACGGAAAATAAAAACATAAAAAATTTCACGATAGCTTATTATTAATATTGAAAGCTATATTAAAGGATATTCTCTCAACACACACATTCACGAACGCAATAATTCGCAACCCACAAGAAAATTTAAACACACACAAATACACACAAAATTGCACACACTCACTTAAAAACACACATACATATATCATAACAATATATATATTTTATATTATATGTCAAAAAGTAATCAAGTAATTTTAAAAATCACTCAACAGATTCATCTTCAAAAACTCTCATACAAGTGGATGTTATTGGCGTATAGCCAACCTAGACTTACTAGGTACTAACAGAGCCCATATAATGTACTTCGCAAAGAACCTTATATTGTGATAACTTGTAAAGACTGACAATACTGTATCCGTGTATCCTCTTAAGTTAAGACAGCAAAGTAATTTCTTTCAGGGGCGATAAAAGTAGCTGGTGGGTTGAGTCCCCTTAATCAGGGGTTATTTTTTTTTATGTGCAACAATATTTTTTATTTAATAAATAAACAAACGTTTTATTAAAATAGTTTATATAAGAATTATCTATCTCAAAGTAATATCTTTACGATTTGAATCAGTATTTGTTACATGTATGTGTTTTCTAATTTTTCTCTTAATCCTCTCTAGGTAGGAAAACATTAACTTTCTTAGATACATAATTTGATGAGTTCAGAATGTTTCTCTTAGCAGTACTCAGTGCGGTATTCAGTGCGGTAGTAATTTTTTGGAAATTAATAAGTTATTGTTATTGTTCAACGTAGCGAGAATTGATTCCAGACGGCATTAATCTCATTTCCACTAAATATACCGGCAGCAGATACAAACGATTGTTATCAAAATGACTTCGTTTAGGACTGCAGAATCTAAACGAGAAAAATTTAGAAAATATCTGGAAAAGACTGTATCACTAAAGTCATGGTGGTGTTGTATGAAGAACCAGAGAAACCCAACAGTGCTATGGATTTCTTAAGACAGAATTTGAATGCCACTGGACCTGAGACAGCAGACGTTCAGGTCATTGAACTCAGGCAGAAATGTGAACAGTTGCAAGAAGAAAACAATGACCTCAAAGTTTCAGCAACTGGAACCAGCGACTGAGCCAGAGATTCCAGAAAACGGAACCAGAGAAAACAGCCAAGCCAAGCATCCTAGTTTATTGAAAGCCTTACTAGCAGCCACCTCATTTGTTGTTTAAATATGGCTCTACTCAACATTAACTTGGATTCTAATTCTTTAAAGGGTGATGGATAATATGCTGGAAATTTCCTGCAATTCAAATTGTCTCAATAAACTGGAACACAATAAAAAAAAATCTTTACGTCGCCTGTATAAAATAAATCGCAAGATAACCGTATATCCAAGATGTCGATATGAAGAATATTAATAATTTATTATCTAAACACAACAGTATCTTTAATCAGGGGTGGTAAAGAACGCTACTGTGAAGCTCTTTTAATCTGGAGTAATAAAAGGCACCAGTGAGCGACGTCCCTTTTAATCAGAGATTATAGTGCCTGAAATCTTTTTAACCAGCGAAGAATTGGATTGATTCCCACAGCCCAAAGTTAGTTTTTTGCTTTCCATATTCCCCATTTTAACCCTAAAAAAACTATGTGCAGCTGATTATTACTATTACTACATTACATAATTTTTTAGCACGTTGTACATATCATACGTTTCAGTCAAAGTACTACACAACTTAAAGTAGTCGTGAAAATTGACGTAATCAGAATCCTCTATGTCGAGGTGGCTTTACCCACATCTGTCTTCAATCCCTGTGTTTGTAAATCTTTTACACATATCATTTTTTTTTAAATTTTAATTAAACACTAAACCTTTATATAGCATGACGTCAACGAACCCACACATTTAGGGCCCCCATTAATCGTGGACCTAATGTATCGTCCCCCCCCCCCCTCTATGCCATGTTCAACTCTAATACCATTTATCTCGCAACGTATCTCCAATGAGCATTATTTAACATAACCTCCTACATGTCAAAAAAAGGCTTAGTTATTATAACATTATGATTTTATGATTCCATATAATCCCTAAAGATCGATTTTGTATTAATTACACAAGTTTATACAACGACCGTTAAACGGAATAGAATGCCGGCCGAAATGGACGCAGTATAAGCTCGGTGCCTTTCGAGACTGTTTCAATGAGCTTCAATCTAAGCCATTGTTTGAGTCGAGGCATAGGGGAGGTAATCGCTGAACAAACGTCCCACAACTCTGCTGGATCGATAGAGGGCGCTGTGTGTGGAAAATATTTGTGAAACAGTGGAACACAGTTGGAACATTATAATACAAGGTTTTGTGAAGTCTGAGGGATTAAAATACAACTGAAGTTACAAGTTGAGTTCTTTACGAGACGGATTTGTTGATAAATATTTCAACCTGTTAATGTTGCAGTAAATAAAAATGTAAGTATTTAAATGTATATACATATATATACATATATATATATATATATATATATATATATATATATATATATATATATATATATATATATATATATATATATATATATTAGGATAGATTTTCGTAGTGTGAGGTCTTTATACAAATGAACCAGATATCGTATAGATAGAAGTCAGATCGCGTGTCAAATGACATAGAACACGTATTGCGTCACAGGGGCAAGTCATGTGACATATGACAGGTCATGTGACATTGGGCAGCTTATTAAGAGACTTAGTGTGTTTTTTCGTGTGAGACACGTCAGGTCATGTGATATAGCTGTAGGTCAGGTTGCCCTTGATGAACCAGTGACGTAATGAGCTAAAGCACACACTGCCACCTGAATACCATTACCCGTATTTACGTCAGCTACCGGATCTAAGATTAAGGCTAATCCTAATCCGTTCAGTGTTTAACACTGCCATAAGCATCACTTCTTGGAAACAAAACATACACTACTCAACTGACCTCTGCTAAAATAAATAAATAAATAAATACTTAAATTACCGAAATGAATAAAATAAAACAATTTAGTTGTCACTTTTCGTTTAATATCCTTATGGTTTATGTGGTTTCCGTATTCGAACCAATAATTAGCCCACTATTATGATGCGAACCAATAATTAGCCCACTATTATGTAAATCACGTCTAATATGTACGTCTATGTTATATCTGTCTTTCCCACAGACAACATACATAAATACATAGCCCTGTATAAAAACTGTATTACTCAGTAATACAATGCTCAAAATAAAGCAAATTAAACACTATCAAAAACACCAAAAATGTCACACAAACACTAAAAATACCATACAAATACTAAAAAACACCATACAAACACCAAAACCACCAAACACCAAAAATACCACGCAAACACCAGAAACATCACACAAACAATAAATACACCACAAAAAATAAACATTAAAAACACCGCACAAACACTAAAAACATCACTCAAACACCAAATACACCACACAGCAACATCCACCACCTCTAAACGATCGCAAAGAAGACCACCTAAATAACTAACTACAATTGCGCAAGAATAACAAAGAGTAGATGTTTAAACCCACAGTAGCATTACACACACCAACATCAAAACCCCACTCTCACACCTAATCACATACACCATAACATCAAATACCCGAATGAAAACATATAACCCATTTACTAATAACATCAAAATTTCTATAAAATTTTATACATACCAAAAACTTACACTCCTTACACTTAACCAAACAAATTTCAGAAAAACACATTTACACATAAACATGCATACATACTAGCATCTATCACAAACACTCATACACCAAACCACCTATACACCTAACACCCAACTCAAACACCCTTACATCTAAACACGTCACACCAGCAACCACACACCCACACACCAACACCCATACACAAACACCCACACACCCTTATGCCAAAATAACCCGCCTCACTCCAACCGCGCTATCTCAAAAAGTGCGGTACCTTTGAAGTCCTTATGACGATATAATTAAGTCCGTAGTCAACCTAGTCCCAGCCAACACACCTGGCTCCATGAATGGACCAATTTTGTTCCCCAAGATCTGGTACCAACGAACCAAACCACCGCTGAATCCACTGCCCCACGTATCCAACTCCACCAACCAGAGCGCCGTTTGACTCTACCCCGCACATACTTCAATGCTTCACGCTAGTTCAAGTGTGTTTTATTTCATACAATCTCCGCGCTCCGTGCTGAAGAGTTGTGGTGACTCCCTGCGACAGAAAAAAAACTGTATTTCTACTTTGATTGGCAACTACTTAAGAAGTTCATTGTAAATAATTCCCAAGGGATTTAGTCTTGCAGGTAAGTTTCTATTTGACTGAGTTATTTTGTAATTATATAACGGCTTGAAAATTCGTCAAAGGAAAATTTGAACAATATTAAACTATATTAAATTAGAACTTCGTTTGACTTTTAGAGAACTGTATCGAAAATCGATAAATTATTTTTTTTTCTAAACGCTTGATTACATTTTTCAAGTGTAGGGTGTTTATGTTCTCAACATTTGGTTTTGTAAAAGCTTTTTCTACGGTAATAAACTCATTTAGTTTTGAAACAAATTTTTCACCTTCAGTCCGATATTAATTCTAAAGGAAGGTACGACTAAATATTCAAATACCATTGCGCTAGCACACGAAGTTATAGTTTAGAAAACTGACTTAGAACCGATTCAACTTGGTAAGCTTTATCAATCGTCTTATTTTTTTTCGAAAAGCATTCTTTTAGTCCGAATTCGACATTGTCATTTTTTTTTCTATTTATAAAAATATTAAATAAAACACCACAAATGTACTCGCTAAATAGTAACAATACACGAAAACGTAAAAAAGATTTTTTTAAAACGAATCACACGTGTACTCCCCCCCCCCCCCCCATAAGTTTTTACATTACAGTGCTAGCATTTTTTCGCCAGCACATAGCCAACATGTGGTAATTTACCTAACCCAATCCTATCTCACTTATCCTCTGTGATCAATTCCCCCTAATCCACCTCCTAACGCATTTCTCGTAGGACTCACTATATGAACCATACTCCCTAACCCTACCAGATATCCCACAACCCGACCCTCCGTACCACATCTCCCTTAGGCCACACATACAGAGACCTCATTGACCGACGACTCTGACCCATACTCCCTACCAGATACCCCACAACCCCATCCTCTTCCACCAACCCTCTCACGTACCCAGCAACATCATTACTGTACTCACCAATACCACCATTAACAACTGCTCACATACCCATCAACATCTTTACTGACTCACCAATACCACCATTAACAACTGCTCACATACACATCAAAATCTTTACTGTACTCACCAATACCACCATTAACAACTGCTCACATACCCATCCACATCTTTACTGTACTCACCAATACCACCATTAACAACTGCTCACATACACATCAAAATCATTACTGTACTCACCAATACCACCATTAACAACTGCTCACATATCCAACAACATCATTATTGTACTCACCAATACCACCATTAACAACTGCTCACATACACAGCAACATCTTTACTGTACTCACCAATACCAAAATTAACAACTGCTCACACACAGCAACATCTTTACTGACTCACCAATACCACCATTAACAACTGCTCACATACACATCAACATCTTTACTGACTCACCAATACCACCATTAACAACTGCTCACACACAGCAACATCTTTACTGACTCACCAATACCACCATTAACAACTGCTCACATACACATCAACATCTTTACTGACTCACCAATACCACCATTAACAACTGCTCACACACAGCAACATCTTTACTGTACTCACCAATACCACCATTAACAACTGCTCACACACAGCAACATCTTTACTGTACTCACCAATACCACCATTAACAACTGCTCACATACACATCAACATCTTTACTCTACTCACCAATACCACCATTAACAACTGCTCACACACAGCAACATCTTTACTGTACTCACCAATACCACAATTAACAACTGCTCACATACCCAGCCACATCTTTACTGTACTCACCAATACCACCATTAACAACTGCTCACATATCCAACAACATCTTTACTGTACTCACCAATACCACCATTAACAACTGCTCACATACACATCAACATCTTTACTGACTCACCAATACCACCATTAACAACTGCTCACATACACATCAAAATCTTTACTGTACTCACCAATACCACCATTAACAACTGCTCACATACACATCAAAATCTTTACTGTACTCACCAATACCACCATTAACAACTGCTCACATACCCAGCCACATCTTTACTGTACTCACCAATACCACCATTAACAACTGCTCACATACACATCAACATCTTTACTGACTCACCAATACCACCATTAACAACTGCTCACATACACATCAAAATCTTTACTGTACTCACCAATACCACCATTAACAACTGCTCACATACACATCAAAATCTTTACTGTACTCACCAATACCACCATTAACAACTGCTCACATACCCAGCCACATCTTTACTGTACTCACCAATACCACCATTAACAACTGCTCACATACCCAGCCACATCTTTACTGTACTCACCAATACCACCATTAACAACTAAACTTTCAAAGACAAAAAACTGTTTTCCCACGCCACCTATTCCGCCATAACCCACGTAACACCTGTAATTACAATGACAGGCGACTTATGACACCACTCACTAATATACCACTCACTAAACACCTCTTTTACACCCCACACCACCAAGCCCCTCTGACACCCTTCTCCAACAACGCCTCTTTTACATTTCACACCACAAAGCCCCTATGATACCACTCTAACTCCTTTTTTACAACCCACACCACCAAGCCCCTTTGACACCCTTCTCCAAAGCCTCTTTTACATCACAACACCAAGCCCATTGACACCCTTCTCTAACACCTCTTTTCCACCAGAACCACTTTTACACCACTTTTACACCCCTACCACCTCACACCTCAAAGACACTGCGACGCCAGGCGCAGTAAATTTCAGCCATAAATTGTTCTCAGACAAGACTTCACAATAAAAGTGAGTCACCTCACTAGTTTAATCAAAAGAAGAAAGGCCCTCTAAATTTAATATTGGCTGTCACGAATCCTGATAAACTTACAGTTGAAAAGACGTAGACATATAATTAGTCTAGAGTTTATTAACATTGTCGGGTGAAGCTATAAATCATAAGAACAATCTAAATCTTTTGAACTGATTTTAGAAGCTTGCTTATAACTTATTTTCTTTGCTGTGTATTGACATACGCACAGAGTTTCTTCCAGGAATCTCTTCGGGGTGGGGGGGGGGGGGAGGCAGCGCCCCCCCCCCCCCTGAACGAAATGGAATTTATATAGAAAATATATACTTTAACAGTGACTGCCCCCCCCCCCCCCGAAAATTTCAAGCGTCCCCCCCCCCGGA